TATGATGAACAAAAAGTTTGCGCCCACACCCCTCGTGTCGCCCCATAAAACAGCTGCAGCGCGCGCGCGGCTCGATTAGCTTGAGCAACGACACGATAGCTCTGACAATAAAAGACTGAAAAAGGAATACGTGGTGCGAGGATAGCAAGAGAGAAGGAAAAAAAAGACGAGAAAGGAACTTAAGACACAGCGACGACGAGTGAGAAATCTCGGCGATATCTTCATATAATTAACGCCGCGCCGCGTTTACGCTATATATATAATGATAGTGCAGCAGCAGTCGCGCGCGATCTCTCCGTGCGCGTACTCTTACATGCACGTATATAACGAAGGAGGCGCAGTCAGACTTTCGGAATACTTTCCTCGGGGCGTCAATTCCCGCGAGCGGGAGGCGTACTACTGGCTCAGCTATAGCTGACTTTCTCTCTCTCTCTCTCTCTCTCTCTCTTACTCTAGCTGCAGTGCTGCCTGTAGCTCCAAAGTATGCCAATAATCTGGACCCCCCTGGCCCCGCCTCTCTTCTCTCTTTCTCTACATTTTTCCTACTTCGAAACTTTCGAAAAGTCATTTGGAAGATTTTGAAATTCAAATTAGGCAGAACATACTTTAAATCGCCTCGGCTCTTGCTCCCTCTCTCTCTCTCTCACTCTCTGCCTGTCGCTCCCACTGAGAGAGAAACTAGGCTACCACCCCTTGCTCTAGCGCAGCACTATGCGCTATACTCATTAATTCTACCCACTGACGAAGTATATACAAACCCAAAGATTCTGCACGTGTATATGGATATCCACGCACAAGCTCGCGTATGCATCCGTGTATAGTAGCTGTATACGCAGTACACACTCACATACACTTGTACAACAAACGCGAGCTTGCGACAAAGTCGTAGAGGAGCCGAGTTGAAATTTTAATTACACAGTGCAGTCAGCTCGCGGATGAGTGGCGCGCGACGTTTTCACACACGCGCCCAAAGCAACACAAGACTCGACTCGACATCATCTTCCCGCGCGCGCTCAGAAAGCAGAAGAGGCGAAGAAATGTTCCGAAATGAAATTATTTAATTGAACGTACTTACACCTATGTGCAATGCGGAAGAGGGGCTGCTGCTGCTGCAGTAGCAGTACATAAGACCCCCTCGACTGCGCTCGGAACGCGACGAAGGCAGCAGCAATTTGAGTGGCTCGACTACTCTGTATATAGCTCATACTGACATTATAATATGAGCGTTGAATTCCTACGAGTTACCTAATTGATTTTTTTTGCCCCTCTCCAAATGCCGCGTAGCTCAATTATGAAGAGATCTAAAAAAGAAGCGCTGCAGAGATCGCTAAAGCTCGCGCAAGTAGCAGCAGCAGTAGCAGCAGTGGTGGTAGAGCAGTAGTAGAGGAAGCAAATTGAGCGAAGCATCTGCTCGCGTAATGAAAGCGAGCTTCTCTCTCTCTCTCTTCTCTCGCATACTAGCCCACACCGGTAGCGTAATTAAAAAAATTTTTTATTCCTCGCTTCCGACCACGTGCCATTTCTTTTATTAAGTTATGTATAGAGAGGAGTTATGTATGAAGAGAAAGAGAGTCAACTCTCCGCGAGACGAGGGCACATATTAAGTCTGCTCTTTCTTCCGCATTCAGCAGTCTTAAAGACTCGTGTATTATTTCGATGTATGGAGCTTCAAAAATGCAGAGTTCTGCTCGACATTCAATCTTATTTGCTTCCCTTTTCAAATGGGAGAAAAATGTCTTAAATAGCTCTCTCAGTTCTATCTCTACTGCAGTTGATGCAAAGGTGCCTCTGAATTTTTAATAAAAAAAATTTTTACTCCATTATTGAGTATTTAGCGATCCCGCAGCCGAAGGAATTTAAATGCATGAAATGATGACTCGACTTGCTCCAGCGCCTTGTGAGATTTATTTTATCAAATATAGTAAGAGATTTTTCTCTTTCGATATCATTGCGCCCTCTAGCCATCTCACATGCTACGCGCTTGTAATTATATATTAAGCATACCAGTCGGAGGAGCACTGCGCACTCGTAATCTTTTCTAATGCGATTAAAACGTCAAACATATATACTCTTTCAACAAATTTTATCGTCTTACTCCTGTCATCTCGTGCTTTACGACTCTCTGTGTGCATGCAGCGAGCTACAACTTTTTCTTCCCGACCCACCGCCCTCTTCGTGAAAATAATGAATAGTCATTCGTAGGTTTTGCTACACTGCGCTCGGCAGCAGATCGTTATGATTTTGAAGGATAAAAAAGAGACGTACTCTTTTACAGCTTTACTCTGCGAAATATATGCTGAGAAATGACTTGTAGCGCGCGAGCTTGGAACATAATTAAATACAGCGCATATATATTTCAACTTCGTTATAATTATGGAAAACTTAATGAATTTTTCCAAATGTTATTATATTTTTTAAAACCGCCATTGTAATATTTTCTACTACTTTTGTGTATACTGTCGACTGATTTTTTTTCCTTTTTTTATTTATATCAGTTTTTTTTATATATATTCATTCGTGTTGCTTCTTTTCATCAACGCACGCGTGGCATGTACGTGCAGGCAAGCAGCAGTAGTAGAAGCAGAGGCAGCTTTTTTATGCGCTACATTTCTCGCGCGCGAAAAATTCAAAGCGTTCCCGTATTTATGGAAAAAAGAGCTGATGCTCGCCTTCATACTATTGGCGCGGCGGCAAGCGGTGCTGCCACTGCTGCTGCGCCAGTTTTAAAAAAGAGCAGCGCAGCAGCAGTCGTTCAGCCGTCACATCAGCAGCTTTGGGCTTCGGTTAAAAACAAAGTTGCCATTCATGCAAGTGTCGGTATGGAATTTCCTCTTCATTTTTTTTTACTCTCTTTACCTTTTTTTCTCTATCATTTCGTGTTCGAAATCTTTTTTCGCTGCGTGATAGAATGCGCGCAGTGTGTATCATATATTTATATATATACTGAAATTAGAGAGGACTTGACAGATGATATGAAGCGCATCCGCGCAAAAATGTTGTTATCGGATTGAATTTTGGGAAAGGCGTATAGAGCACGCATGGAGATAATTAACCGTGTAAACCGATCGGTTTTGTCCCGCACCGTATAGCGAGTTTCATTGAAGAATTCCCGATCAATTTTCGATATTTTTTCGCGCACTACTCCCGGACTCTTCACCTCGCTCTTTCTAGATTTTTTTTATTCAACACAGTGTAATTTAATAGCAGTTTACACGCGAACTGGGTTAAGATAAAACATGGTATATATATATACTCAGTGAATGATGAGCACACACGAGCTCGGAAAATGCATCCTTCACTCCGGAGCATCAACTAGCCTGATTTTTTGTTCGAGGTTAACGGAATAATTCCTGGAATGATCCCGGGAACAAATCATTCTTTTTACCCGCGGAATAGCGACAAAAAATGAAACGTCCGTTTGGTCACGTACAATTAATAAATATAGCTTATGTGCGTGCAAATAGCGCTTAAAATGCGGGACATTTTAAACTATTACAAATGGCTCACGCACGCGAGACCGCCCTGTTCTGTCAGAATTAAGCGTCTGCGTGTACGAACGGAAAAAGAGATAGAGCTTAGCTTCGCAGGGAGGGAGAAAAAGCAAAGGAGAGCTAGATCCAATATTATTCCAAGAAAGCCCTCGGGAGGGTAGATTTCGATTTCCGTCACCTACTACCTACACTGCTGCGCATAGTATATACAGTGCGCTGCACGTACTGCGCGCTCGTGCAATCCTGCAAGCCTTTGAAATGAATCTTTGTGAAATCCATAGCCTGCGCCGCGATTGTCGAGCTTTAACCTTTCTACCAGATAGCTCTCTGCGCGCGTCTTTCTTTTCTCTGGCACTTTGGCCTTTGGTGAATTAAAAATACATTCGCGATATACGTAGATATGTATTGCGAGTTATATTATATAAAGGATCGTCCGCACTCCGTAATATGCACGCCTGCGTTGTCGCGCAAGGAAGTTTCAACGTCGTACATGACATTTCAAGCGCAAAATTGTGAAGCTCTATGAATACGCTAGATTCGAGTTGATCTGATTAAGCTATAATCGAAACTGAATTTCTCATTCGACGAGTTTGCTGGCACTAGGAGAAACGCCTCAAGTCACTATCAAACTTGAAACGAACAGCAGCAGCAGCGGCGGAGAACATGTTGCTAAACTACACGTTCTACATATACTACAAGTATGTAGAGAGTAGTATAACATTAGCGATCCCTCTCTCCACACGCGGCGGGTATTATATACCTGTATGAACGTCAGATATTATATCTATGTACGGGAGCAAAGCTCGTGTGCGGGTGTATACACCAAATGCGCATGTTACATGAATTTTCCTTCAATTCGATGAGCGTTGCTATACTACTACCACTACTACACTACGTACGTGAGCTAGCGGCACAAAATTGATATAAGAGGCGTCCGCGCAACTATTCCATAGCTCTGAAGCAGTGAAGTAACTCGTTTAAAGCTCTTTAATAGCAATTAAGTAGTGCAGCTCCGTGCACGATCAGACGTGCAGCATCACCCGAAGCCTATACTAAAGCGAATGGACTACGCGCCGGCTTGCAGTAGGCTTTATACTCTCTTTTTGCGCACGATGGATCTCAAGCGATCCTCTTCTCTCGTGGTTTTCGAAAGAGAGAGAAAAAAGATGGATTAATCGGTCCGTATTCGAAAGGATACTCGTAGCTCAACTTTTTTAAGAGCTCCTTTGATGCGAAGCTTTTAACTAGTGCACTTTAACACTTACATACACTCACATACAGCACACAGAGCTTTTTCTCAAGCTGAAACGCACGCGTTTATTTATCAGTTACAGTAGGGCTGATTCACGCGGGAGCCAATTGTTATTGTGTCGAGGAAAAGCCGACATACGAAGACACACTCGCGTTATAAAAACTCATTTTCTTTTTCTGAAACTTTTGCGCGTGGAAGGAGTCGCGATAAAAAATTAAAAAAAAAAGGATTGTAGATAAAAGACACAACTTAGTCACCTGTGTGCTGATGCTGCTGTACGTGCTCCGGATGGTGGCCGCTATCGGCCTTGCCACCGCCGCTGGCGCGCAGCGACGACTCGGCGCGTAACAGGTAAGCCAAGCCGAGAAAAAGAAAAGCCATGAACCTCGGGCTCCCCATGCTCTATTTTTCTTCTTCTTCGCCTTCTTGTCTTATCGTCGCGCGTTGTTGTCGTCGTTCTCTGAAGCTCTTCGTCGTCGTCTTCCTCGGTGAGTCGTCGCCGCTCTCGCAGCCACCCTCCAGCGCAGTAGTATCTTCTTACACCACCGGCTCCGATACTGATTCGCGCAAACGACACCTTCTTCTTCGTCTTCGTCGTCGTCTTCCTCTTCTTCTTCGCGTCACTCGCCATCACACCAGCGCACCATTATATATCACCACCCGCGATCGCACACCAAGAGAAAAGAGAACAAGAAGAAGAACGAGGAGGAGAAAGAAAATGAGAAGAACCGGGGGAAAAACAAACTTCACTTGTTATTTGACGTCTCCTCGGTGGCCGCGCGAACGACGACGACGAAGATATAAATTAATCTGCGCAGCGCAACGTCGTTCGGGCCCCGGAGCGAGATAGCGGCGCTTAATTTATTTCACATAACCGACGCACATTGCACTGCAAGTTGGAGAAGAGAAGAGGAGAGAGATTAAAGCCAGGCTAGTTTTTCAAAGATTTATACCAAAGACACTGGGGGAAAGAGCTTAAGCCGCTGGAGCCTGCAGAGAGAAAGAGAGAACTCAGGCGTTTGTACTACGAGATCGTTGACCCGCTTTCGTAAAAAGATGTTTTCCTTCTCTCGTGACAAAGCTTCGGGGGAACACTGCTGCTGCTGGTGTTATTTTCAATTAGCAATCGAGGCAGCCGCTATCATCCCGCCGATGAATCGTTTCGCACTGCAGTAGTTAAATACCGTTTCATAACACACCAATCACAGTAACGAAGCCACAGCCGCTGGGGCTTTTATTTACATTTCCAACTCGATGATGCCGCGGCCTCGATATCGCGCCAAAGCAGCGGCAGCAGCTTATACTACGCGAGACACTCGCACCGCACATGATCAATCGTGTTGAAAATTTTCCCGCACTCGACGCAGCTTTATTTTTCACATCTATAACTTTTTCTTTGAGCAACTGTACTGCGTGCACAATATTGAGGTGATCGCATTAAAAGCACTACTTGTTCGTATTAGTTACGTAAAAGACGACCACAACAGACTCGAGGCTCGCGACTTTGGCGGCGGTTAAGCGCTGACTGAGCTTTCGAACCCGGTCATAGCTGCTGCAGCGCCCACGAGGCGCGCGTGATAAGGGCTGCGCGCTGCCAGCGGCGCGTCGCGGAATAAGCGACAAGCTCGAGCGCCAGGTCAGGCTCGATAAGGAGCAGCAGAGCAGCTTATACCGAGCGTATGAAACGCCACGACTCGAGTTTCCATTGTTCCGCTCGGCAAAGGGGAAAACTTTTGTGCTCGATGGAAGATATTCTACAAAGCGCGCAGCCGATGGTATACATTTTTCAATTCTCACGATTTGATTTGACCGAGCTTTTTAACGAGCAGTGCTTTCGCTTTTTTCTTTATTAATCGCACCAAAAAACGAGTGTAAAAATTGGATTTTTAAACAATCATTGATTTCAATATAAATTGAAAGTCAACCCAAAAAATAGCGCTGGAGTATGAAGAAAACTTGTCTGAACAAAGAATCGTTGAAAAATTTAATTGAAAAGCTCTACACTCGAAACATACTTCGGTACACTTGCGAAAGTATTGCAAAATGTCTCTTGTAATTTGGCAAAAAGCGGTGCACGTTGGTTGGCGTCGATGAAAAAAAAGAAGCAAAGCGACGCTCGCCATTAAGGAGAAAATTTGCGAGAAAATATAATTTCACAAGCGTGCGCGCCGCCGATACGCTTTAAGCGCGCAGCGCGGCGCTCCTCGTACGTACACGCTACTATACGTAAGTTAATAATCGCGCAACGGTTCGTCGGCTGCACACCGAAGAGAGAGGTATACACACGAGCTTTTATCGTCCTCGTTCGTCGTCGTCATCGTCGTCGTCGAGCGCTGCGCTGGCGCGAAAGAGAGAATATCACAAGGCGGCGCGTGCGAGAGTACAACATAAAAGCCGAATCCCACGGGATGAACGACACAGTCGCGTGTGCTGCGACGCCTCGAACTATACACGTTATAACACATACATCGGGAGCAGAGAGGCGTTCGTCGTTGTCTATTGTATCTGTATACCAGCGAAACCGAACGCGAGCGGATTATTTAACGCGCTCAACGAGGCTTTATTCCTTCGAAGGCGCGCGTTCGAGAGCCGCCACCACCACGAGCTGAACGAAGAGAGATAATCGTTTTACGCGCAGTGCACAAATTTGTTTTTTTTTCTATTTTTGGCTTCAATTTTTTTTCTTCAACGAGCTGCGAGAATTTTCACAAATAAGGTAAACGCATGGAGATCGAAATGATGGATTGTCGTGCTAATGGTGACAAGGATTGACGTGAGCAAAAATCGAGGCAAGAGGTAAAAATCTAATTTTATTATTTACTTGAGAATTCAGATAGAACAATTTTTTTTAAATCAATATTTAGTTTCGTGACATTATCAATAATTTATTTATAACATTTTTTAAGTTTAATTGATTTTTATATTTTCATGTTTTTTGTGATTTCTTGATTGGGAATAGTTCTAAAATAATTTTCACTTACGTTGGAACGTTAAAATATTTATTAAAAAAATGTAGTGAAAATTATTTTGCAAACGAAAATTATGATAATGAGTTCAAAAAAAACATTGCACACTTCGTACACTGATATAATGATCAACGAAATTTATATTTGCATAAGCAATTACACTGCTCATAATTGTGCTCATAAAAACAGAAGAGGCGAAAATACGAAAATAACATCCAAAAGCAGTGGGAAAACATCTCGGCCGAAAATTTTTTTTTCAGGAAATTGTCGCTACCTCAATCAGCCAATTTTACCCACCGCCGCGGCAAAATATTCAAACGCAAATGAGCCTACACGCGCGAAGCAAAGTCAAAATATTTTCCGATTCTCGGGCCCGCAAGCTCTGCGTGCGTGTTTTGCTTAATTTTGAAACAAGTCGAAATAGATTCAAATGTTTTCCTTCGTTTCATAGTTGAAAATAGCTTTTGTAGTTAATAGTAGGGGAAAGATGAAAGGAAAAATATGTAAAATTGTCGAAGAACAATGCTTGTACGTGTCTCAAAGGAAATAAAAACTGTCCCAGAGTTTAAGCAAATACATCGCAAGGCGATACATGTGCGTAACACACGTAGTGAGAAGGTTGTTAACACAATATAATAATTCAGCTGCTCGAGATTCGCTTTATATACGTAAGGCATTGCAACGGCCAGTTGCGTAATTCAGAACAGACAAGGATGAGTTGCCTCTATGTGAGTGTATGTGTGTATGTATACATAACAGCATGCAGAGAGAAGCGTGTGTATCCGCGCGTGTGGACGTAGGAGGAACTTTGGATGATTATTGCAAGCTCCTCGGCAGGAAACTTCGACTAGCCAACGCAGAAGGCAGTTCGCCGATTAGTCTTGTAATGGGCCATTTGGAAATTTCAAAGATCAATTTCACTCGAGCGCCGAGACGTATACATGCCTCTCTTGTGGATATATGTATAACCGTGCGCGTGCACCTACTTCTCTCCTGGCTTTTGTTTGCGATAACAAGTAGTCCTGCATCTGTTTAGAAATTGTCTCCCACCTGTATTTAATAGTACGCAATACATCGCGACGTTCTTTACGCGAAAATTTCGGTCGATATATAACTCTCGCAGCGAGAGCTACGAAACTCCTTTAGGCTAAGTAGCACAAGCATCGTATATTATTGGTCCGAAAGCAACGCGAGCGGACTGCGCGCCGAACGAACGATTCGGGAGAATCGGTTGACAGGCGAATAATACGTTTGTCTCTGGGCCGCGTACGCGCGTCATGGTAATAAACAGTATATATGCAGCGTATATAGCCAGGAAATTGAGTGGATGACAGAGCTACTGGCTGCTACTGATGTTGTTAAGCTTGTATATCCAACTCAAGAGAGAGAGAGACATAGATGCACTTCTCTACCTGACAAGCGAATAACTCCCGCGCCCATTAACTTCTATCAAAGACGCGCACCAATGTGTGTGCGTGCGTAAAATAAACTTTTATTTTAGCAAAAGAGGCGGAGAAAATTAATTCGGCGTAAAGTCGCCATCCGATACGCTTGTCAGAAAAATATTTACACGAGCCGACTCTAGTTGCAACAAAGTGCATGCAGCGCGCGTCCGCGCGGATAATTTTAGCCAAAAGCCCATAGAGAACTCGCTACGCTATCGCGCGCAGCTATTACAAATGTAAAACTTGATCTTGTTCTTGCTCTGGAATATCAACTTCATAAACAGAGAGAGAAAGAGCTCGAAAACTCGACTGGAATATGGAACTCGCGCAGGGACTGCCAGTAGTACGTATATAGCCCATATATGCACAGACAGCATGAGCCTGAGCATCGTGCGCCCCGTGCGCGCGTATGTATATGCACGGGCGCCGCGATATAATGGCGTGAAAAGCTCGTTAAAACCATACGGAAACAAAGTTGAGCTCTTCGTGAAAACAGTTGCCCGCGCGCGCGCGAGAAAATACGCAGACGGCCCCCCATCGCCGGCAATTGCTATAATACAAAACAGCCCAGTGGAGACAGTCGGAGGTATAATACAATAATTAAACTGCATTTTTGTGTGGCCGTACTCTGCGTACATAAGATCGATCGTTCGCGTAAGGCATATATAATTGAAATGAAATTCGTGCAGAGTGGAGCATCAGTAATGCTCCCTTTTTTCAGACTTTTTCTGCACTTTAATCCATTTTGTAAATAAGCAGCCGCAGCACGGCCTATGCGCGTGATACGTGGTCGCGCAAAAAATATCCTCCCCACAGTCGTGAGAGCTCGCAGTCGCGAGTATAAGAATCGTACGTAGGCGAAGTCGTCTCGTTCACTCGGATCACATCGACTTATCGCACGCCTAAGCTCCTTTTGCGTTGCTTACCGATGGCAGCAGTACAGTACTGCGCCTGCTGCATCTCGTTCTCTTTCTTTCGACAAATGGCGGCGGCAAATCCTTTCCGTCGCGCGGATTTGTCCCATTGCCAAAGTGTCGAGCAATTTTCCACCTGTATAAAAGCTTAAAATCATGCCTTCGAGTTTAATGACACATTTTGTCATTTATAATTTTCACTCGTGGCGCATTCTCGCTAAGCTTTGAGAAAAGTTAAGTACAGTTTAGAATGCGCGCCTGATGATGATTTTACTGATTTAACTCGATTGACCGACGTGTCGCGGCTTTTTGATAAATAGTTTCAGTTGAAATTTTGATTTTTATTTCATTACTTTCTGCCCACTGCGGTTCCAAAATGTCGATTGGAAGTATGATGCTCGATTAGAACGAGGCCACGAGGGAATTTTCCACTTCAGGGTCACAAGAGAAGATCACGGTTGATGAAGGATCAGTACAGTTTTGGAAATGACCTCTTTATCAAATGTGACATATCTTGACAATACCGAAACTGCTTTCAGAACATGTCTTTTTACACTCTAATCTCACACACTAATCAAATATTGATAGAAAATTTTTACGGGTAATGAAATTAATGGTATAAGTTTTAGTCTAATTTTAACTTTGTCTTCGCAGTTTATTTCATGAACTATTACTTAATAGAATATATATTCTTGCGAAATTCAATTTAAACTTTGTCAAAGGTGACCTTATTTTAAGAAATATAATGTATGTTTGTCATGGTTAATATTGTGTAAGTAGTTTTTAGATACCCTTTAAAACATTTTTAAAATAAACATGGAGCACAAGATGCGAAATATATGCCTGTGTTACAGTACTGCATGGCTTGATCGATGAAATGGCCACTAGGGACCGATTTCTGTGCCTCCTTTTGTCCATCGTCTTCTACTCCACAATCGGTAAGATCATATTTAAAATAACTTTCAAGATATATTCGATAAAACCAATTCCATAGCTTCGAATAAATCGTTGTCGTATTATTTCCCCGGAGACAATCCATGTAAATTTCATGAATAAATATTGACGCGGGTATCCACGGACTCGAGGTATGGGGCTTGACCACCGCCACGGCGCGTTTACAGCCGTCAAGGGTGAGCCAAGCATGTAAATATAAGAAAAGTTGTATCTTAACAGGCTCCGCTCGTATAAACGTGTAATATAGCTGCGTGCGGAAAAAATAAAAGCACGCAACTTTTTTCATGACCTTCGTGCATTTTTATTATTTGCGGAAAGTTATGTGACGCGAGCCAGTGAAATCGGTTGAATATTTTTATTGTTAGACAAATACACGGAAAAACAACATAAACTACCCCCGGAACATCTACGTTTCGCATTTTATATTCTGCAAGCCATAATTAGTGTAATATCTATTTGTATTTATGTACCTTTAATTAAAATGATCCCTGCGCAATGTACATTTAGGTCAGACGGAACCTCGCTTGGATATTCAGCCAGAATTTCTAGCGCCCTTAGAAAATCACACTGTCACTCAAGGACGTGACGTTTTCTTTACCTGCGTCGTTAATCATCTCCAGTCTTACAAGGTAACGGCTTTGAATCAATCTCATTTTTGAATGCGCACGTCGAATTATCACGATTTGCATAAATGCGCGCCTGTACATTATGCATGAAGGTACTATGTAATTAATGATTGATAAACACAGACTTGGAAATAGCAATGGTCTTGTACTCTGGTAGAAATGCTCGACATTGATAGTAGCTTAATGAACAAAAAATTTGTTCTTATTTTCATTGGTTTATTTTCGACAATTTTTCTGTTACAATTAGTTTCCAAATGTTAAAAGAATTTTGAATGATCTACAAATGATAATTTTATTGTTTTAAATACGATAATATCATTTCAAGTATCAACCACAAGATGGCGAATACCAATTTGTCTGTAAATCTGCAAGTGTCAAAGTGAAAGTATTATATATAACTGAATAGTTACGTATGGTTCGTTATCTTCTAAATATCCCCTTTGTACTTAATCATGAAGCGGAGCCGTCAATACAGTCCTCAAGAGGTTGAACGTCACGAAGATGAGGTAGCGAAAGTAGTAACGTGTTATTAAGTGTAACTGACATAACACTACCTTTATCATTAGATGACGAGTACCTCTAGTTGTAACTCTGTAAGTGGCAGTTCTGTGTAGTTAAAATATGATCATTGCGAGAAAAAATATTATGCTTTGCTTGACCGGTGTGTATTCAGTTCAAATGGCCCTCTTTTGACCAAGAAAGTTTTTCTTCGTCCAAAAAATGAGTCATGAAATATCGAGAATTTCTAACAAGATAAAATATCTTTTATTTTTCATTCCATTGTTTATGCCATTTTGCAATTATACGCTCGTGCAGATAGCATGGCTGAAGTCTGACTCGCGAGCCATCCTGGCGATGCACACGCACATGGTGGCGCCGAATCCACGCCTGTCCGTCACTCACAACGGCCACAACACGTGGAAGCTGCACGTGTTCAACGTCCAGCCCGAGGACTCGGGCACGTACATGTGCCAGGTCAATACCGACCCGATGAGGAGTCAGGTAAGCGTCTAGCCTCTCCAGTTCTATTTCTCTCCCGATACGTATAAGCATTATGTTCGGCCACGTCACACCTCCGTCGAATTCTCGCTTCGTTATAATGCTCCATTATATGTAGATAGAGAGAGAGAGAGAGAGAGAGAGAGAGAGAGCGAGTCGCGAGCTCGAGCTTAACCCGGCTGTTAATGTACGCCTACGCACGTACGGATACTGTCTGCGATAATGCGCTCTGCATATTGGATGATGCTCGCTCTATACAATCGAGCTCTGCGGTCCTGCAGAATATTAGACATTTCTAATTAGTCCGACGGCTGTATACCGAGTGGATGAGGACGAACTATACACCCAAGTATATAATCGTGGAGCTCTGGCTTTCCGATAACAATTCGTGCAATAGATATCGGATTAAATCGCTTTTATTGCACTCTTAAATTGATTCTTTGTAGTAAAACGTTAAATTTGAAGACAAATCACATTAGTCAAATTCAATTTTGTACTTAACTTTACCTCGAAGATTTCTGAATTATTTATTTATCGTAATTTTTATTGAACCGCCTATATCACCAGGTTGTCCACTAAAAAGGTACAAACGCCACCAGACATCATCGATTAATTCACATTTTTTTTTGCAATTCTATATTGATTGAAGATGAATTATATTAGTCGAATTCAATATACTTAATGATGTCGAAGATCTCTGAATTATTTATTAATCGAAATTTTCGTATTTTTGTCGTCAGGTCGGTCACATGAAGGTACTGACGCCACCAGACATCGTGGACCAAATGGACGACTTCGATCGTTTGACGAGTCTTGAACGCGGCAACGTCTGGCTGCGGTGCAAAGCTGTTGGAAATCCCAAACCTGAGGTCACGTGGCGACGAGAGGACGGTCGCAGCATCACTCTAAGAAGCGAAAACTCACGAAGCTTAAGTTCGAAATTTACATTATTTTTATTTATACGTTGTTTGTATGCAAAATTCAAGAGCAAGCTTTATTCTGTAACTTTACAGTAAAATAGCCTGAAAGGAGGAGGATGAATAGAAATATTTCAAATAAATATTAAAATTGTGTAATCCGCTGGTTAAGAATTTCAACGCACAGCCCTCGGTGTTGCACCTCATGCTTTTCGCAATCCCCTACGAATGAGGTAGACATGTGAGTTGATTATATCACTGCAACTCAGACTCAGAGAGTAATGATATACCTGCAGCGATCATGCAAATTTTACCAGTTAATCGCACGCATACACGTAAAACTTCAAAATTTCGTGCGCGCGTAAATCGTGCATGGGGTAACTTGTATAAATATTACCAAAAATTTAGTAACATGTTACGTGTTACAACAGTTTACTACGCTTATTATTATTATTACCATGAAAATCCGGCAAACCTTAGAGTTACATCGTATCGTAGCTCCCTTTATTATTTTTCACAATAAGCCACAACTCGCTCATATCAATGTAGGCGTGATATCTTCACGGACATGATTAGTAGGATTCTGATGATTCGAGTTTCGTGACAAGAGCTCGGGAGCCGGACCGCTGCTGCTGTTGCTCGGTTTGTTATACAGATGTCAGGAATTTTTAATTGCTCCAAGATTTGATCGTCCGATTATTCTCAACGTGCAGCCGACACGCGGCGATAGCATATAAAGTTTAGCCGCGGGGTCGTCCCTCGCGAGAGAAAACTTTCGCACTTATCGCGCTTACCCTATAACTGCACACCAAGCGCGGCGCATAATATAATGGCTCGGAGGCGAGAAAAACTTGCGCCCCGCAAGTCCATCCATCTCGGGCGGATCGTTAAAATTTACATGGCTTTCGATGGCTGCTGCTGCTACTGCTGCTGCTGTATATATAGTTGAATCAGTCGCAGCTTATTCGCAAAGGCTATAAATCAAACAATTTCTCGCAGATATCCCGAATGCTTTATACCATAACGCTGGGAATATTACATGTATAAGGAATTTTGCAAGACGAGCGCGCGCGTGCTGTGCTGCTACACTCGCACGCTGGTGTGTGTGCGTATATGATTGATGTACGTTGACCCTTCCGAAACTTCCTTTAGCGCGCAAGTGAAACGAGCCGATTCCGAGCTTATACCGTGTATATATGTACAATATTCAAGGATGAGAGTGAGCACGTGTGTATAAGGAGTGAGAGCGCGCGATATGATGCATAGTCGACGTTAAAGGATGCGAATCACCTCGCGCAAAAATGACTTTAGCCTGGGGAGGAGCTGTATATTGCCTTTTTATTGATAGATCTCGGTCTCTTCTTTTTCACGCTCGCCCCTCTGGCTTATACGCGCACACGTGTGCTGTGTACTACGTGTGGCACGTCAAAGGAGACCCTAAAATTGAATGTAAATATTTCAGAAGATCGCGTACGCGCCTGGACACCGACCGACTCGAGCCCTTTGTCCGACAAATTTATAACTTGTTGTTCTTAGCGAATCTCAAGACTTGTAAGACGTTTATTGCTAATCAATCAAAATTTTTGGAGCAAAAACTCTTTCTGTTCGATTCTATTTAATTATTAATAGTGTTTCACTTGCAGCAATCCTCTTATTTCACCAACATTGCGGTTGTAATACATTTTGATTCGATGTTTACCTAAAAAAAGTTGATAACTAGCAATTTACTGAAGAAAGAAAAAATTATTCGTTCGTTCGGTACTTACTTGCTTTTGATCTTGTCCTGCAATTTTCTTCGCACTCCTCTTTTTCTTCGGGAGTCATGGCTGCAGTAAATATAAATTAAACATATAGAATCAAGTTATTTCATTCGAAAGATAGTTTGATGATATTTAATTTATCTTACATTTTTTTAAGCATTTTTTTTGATAACAAAAGCGATATTTTTGAGCTACCGATAATTTTTCATAATTCTCGTCAAAGATATCTTCGTCGGGAATAGCAGTAGTTGTCGTGACTGGTGCTTCTGTCGTTTTACTGCCCCAAGGCCATAAAGAGAAGGCACCAGAATCTGCGATCAATTGTCAATGAGTTCGAGCTTCAACCTACATAAAGATTCAAGTTTTTAAGTCACCTTGAACGAGATAAGAGATAAGCGTGAATGAAGAAAAAATGAAAAAAGTAAATTTCATTTTTAAATGAAAAAAATTCGTTGTAACGCGCACTGGTAACACCGATGAATAATCACGACTTAATGTATGATGATTGGCGAAACTTCATGAAGCTCTTTTAAATAGCATTTCAACAACCGCATCATGCTCGTCGTGACAAACGCACGTGGAAATAATGATACCGAGCGATAGTGCATTGAATTTCTCTTTTTCCTCAATTGATTCAGGACAGAGCATTTTTACTAGAAAATTTTCAAGAAAATGTAGAAAGAATGAAATTCATAATGATTCCTATGCACCAATGTTAAATATTATTTTGACTATATTGACAGGCTGATTCTTAATGTTTTGCAGCCGTGAAGACGTATAAAAACGAGGACCTGCATCTCAATGGAATACTGAGGCAAGAAATGGGCTCGTATCTGTGCATCGCTTCGAATGGCGTGCCGCCGAGCGTCAGCAAGCGATATTACGTAAATGTTCTTTGTGAGTTTTGAAAGATCTATTTTCTGCACACGAAGACATAATAATGTCTTTTGTTGAATTTTCTTTTCACCCTTCTATAGTAGTCGCGAGAATCGTAAAATTCGCATTGCTCATTATCGCTAATATTTTATGCAATGTAACCCATAAAAAGAAAAATTATCCTTGCGCAATAAATGTATTCCTTGCAGTTAAGCCGACGATCAGAATCAAGGATCAAATAATAGTAGCCCAAACGAACGACGACGTCACTTTCGAGTGCTACGTCGAGTCGTCGCCGAAATCACTCACGACTTGGTACACGCAAGACGGTGCGTGTTTAAAATTTCTCAAAAATACTTCAGATTCATTTTTAATAATCCAATTTTTTTTTCATTTTTAAAGGTGTCAAGGTGATACAAGACGCATGGCATATTATTAGCGAAGAGATTCAAAACGAGTACAGCTCGTTGAGCAATTTGGCGTTAAAAAGCGTTAAGGAATCTGATTTTGGCGCTTACACGTGTTTTACGGAAAATGCTTTTGGTACATCGAGTGCTGTATTTCAGTTACAAGGTAATTTGAACAATTTATAAAATTAAAAAGAATTATAATTATAATTTGATAATTTTTTTTGTTTTTGTAGATTATCAACGAGTCAATAAATCAGTGACATCGTCGCAGCACAATAAATACGGGAAAACTGGAAATACGATAGTGAATCGCGGCCACAACGAGTTAGATATTTACGCTGCAAACAATAATAAAGACGAACGATCTTTTCGTTTTCATAATGCTAATGAAAATGAAGACTTAGCCTTTGAAGCTCATTACGAGCAGTCAAGAGCAACATTTTTACTGTCTAATATAGGCATTATATTTGTGATATCGATTACTTTTTACTTTTATTTCAATTACATTTATTAAAAATAATTTTTGAGAAATGTGTAAATATAATTTTTTCTAGTGTTACAGCTAGTATGTAAAGATAAAGTTTTGAAACGCTTTTCTGGAATTTTAATTTTTTGGTTGCAATTTTCTTTAAAACAACACTCCGTTTTTCTATGCTGTATGTCTGAACACGAAATTAAAAAGTAAAAGTTTATGAATATTGTTATCCAAAAAATACTACTATTGTTCCAGTTAAATATCTTGAAAGTAAGTAATAAATGTAACTTTACGTATAATGTAATAGCTGTACAGCTCAATGTTTACATCGATGTAAATTATGCGTATTTGTTAATAAGTTTATGTAATTTTAATTTTTCAAACAGATGAACCAATAATAACATAGACCACTAGTTGTATGATAAATTAAAAAAAAAAATAATTTGAAAATAATCATATATCCAATAATGAGTATATAAAATTTAATTTCAAGTAGATTAACTTTTATTTGGAATAAGAAATTTTCGAGTACACACGCATTGAGTATGAAATTATATAATTAATCATTCAAGAAAGACAATAATAACGTACAAATATAATTGAAACACTGATCATACAAATATTCCCGAAAGCAACTTTTTTTAAATCAATTTCTCTCCTACAGCAATGATAAATTTAATGGTTTATCATAGGGTATTATAAATATATTTAAAAATCATTAAGATAAACTGCAATTCGCAGACAAAACTTATTAGTTGCATGCTTATTTTCTTTCAATTTTTGTACAATAAAAAAAATGTTTCAATAATATTTTTTTATTGACTCATTCGCGTCATGGACAGTCGTTTATGAATTACGTATCATCTTCAAACGGATATCTATTATGCAAAAATATACTTATAAGCATTTTTTTTCAATTTACGATTTTAGAAAAATTATCAATTATTTTATTTATATTCAATTGAACGAAATACTATTATGTATTGATGATTATATCATTACTTCATGTATCCACTTTATTATGTGTTGTTTTAATGCTACACTAAAACAATACTCATGCAAAATGTGGTGAAAATTAATCCAGAATAAACAAAGGCATTCCAAGGGTTATCAAATAAGGTCATCAAAGACATGAAATATTGTGAGATTGATCTTCTGGATTTGACAGTTTAATTTTAATTGACTTAATGATTCGAAACTCAAATGAAGTACATCATTATTAATATGTAAAAAATATGCATAATGGAAAATTATTTTGTATAAAATAAATTATTTCTATACTAATGGAGCAAATTTTTTTATAATTTTTGTAACTTTTAACGAAAACTTTAAATTTATGTAAGCCTTAGTAAAATGAATAATTTTATATTTTATTTTAAATCCTAAATTATATAACTCGTGATATCTACGAATACATTTTCGACGCTTTTCACACACTAAATCAATTAAGTTCAATATTATGCCGCAATTTTCCATTCTAAGTCAAGTCAAAAATTGATCGACCAATCAGAAGCCGTTTTAAAATTTTTCACTTGTAGGTCAATAACTTTAAAAAAAAACATACATAAATCACGTTTTTTAGTTGTACATTATAAGTTAATATTTATTTTATTCAAGTAGATATCATATAAACCGCGAAGTCTATAGTATCACTCTGACGTATCTTTAAAATGCAATCCAATTGAAAAGTGACACCTCATTTCCGCTCGCCTTCAATGAATCTGAACGTCCGTTCGTCACGACATTAGCCGATAAAGCGATGATTAATGCATAAATTCCTTATCGAAACGCAACTACGTCACGCAGTTTTCTTGTGCGGAGCACAGTTCATATTTAGGGAAGTTCGGCGCTTGTTGTTAACGACCACTCTAAGTGGAGCAACTGATGTCTAGTAAATGATACAGAGAAAAAGAGAGAGCACGAGGTCACTGCAAAAACTCGATGCACGCGCTGTAAACGCTCCAGTTGAAAGAAGTAGTACCAGCCAACGCACGCTACAATGTCATCGTTGCGTTTGAGCAACACGCCGCCTAATTAATTTCTGCCTCGTCCGCTGCCTCTATGCTGCTAAATTCTTGTGACAGTCAGTGTATTTGCGCAATTGATAGCAGTCACGAGTTACCAATATGGCCGTAATATTTGTGCGTTTATTATGTGCTCCTCGACCGTCGTTCTAGGCTTTGCACTCGCAAAAAAAACAGGACAAAGGATCTGAAGAGTGTTCTATCGGGTATATTGGGGGGTCTCCGTATCGTGCGAATCCAGACTACGCGTTATTACTCATGGTAAACGCGATCAAACTGAAGACAAGTTGCAAGGACAGAAGAAAGAGAGGATTCTACTTAGATACTTAGCATATAAAGAGTAACTCAGCAGGTAAGTAATGTTATTCGTTCGCTCGTATAACCTACAAAGCACGTATAAATACGTGCAAATGCAGTGGGATGATGAATTTCAGAATAACTTAATCAATAAAAAAGATAAAAACTGAATTAATATTAGATTTGATTTAATCATATTGCATGTTATTGCATACTCTTAAAGTGTTTATTAGTCAGCATTGAAATGATGAGTACATGAAGAATAAATCTATAAAAATTAGTGCACGAGTTACTTAATTACGTTATCATAAATTAAATGCAAGTGTAAAAAGTGATTTGTCTGTGTTCAGGAATGGAATCAAAAAGTGAAAATGTCACTTCTGCACCCAAAAGCAATGGTAACCCTGTTGATGATGAAAAAGAAGAGGGTGAATTATCAATGGATGATGTCAGTTCAGTAGAAGACACACCTATCCAAAGAAACCATTATAATAGATATCAGTCGATATCTAGAAATTTTACCAGGACGATACCAAATCTATCCGATTCGGAGAGTAAACTAAGTAAATAAAAATATTTATTGATTACTTACTTTCCAATATAATTTTTAATGTTTACTTTTTTTTTAATAAATTTATTATTTATAAGTAGTTTAAAATAAACTAAATCAAATTTTTCATTATTTGCTTCTTTGTTGAATAAGAATATTTGTATATAGATGCTGGAAAAGAAAATCAACGTCGTCACTATTACCATCACCATCACCATTACAGAAATCATCGGTCACAATCTCCAGTATATAGAAAAGCTATTAATCCATTTTATAGCACCTTACAAGAGAAAAATATATCTAAAACTATACGCCCGTCTGATGATTTGAAAGAAATATCCAGTGATACTGACATTGATATGACTCTGGTTGGTTTTTCAAAAAAAACTCTTAAAAAGCCAAAACATAAAAAGAAAAAGCATGAACCTGAACCACTCTCACTTTCTGAAAGTGAATTATCAGACTTAGGATCATCAAATTTAGACACAGCATATAGACATAGGAAAAGTTTATCTAAAACGCACAACACATCTAAACCATTAAAAAAAAATATCTCTAAAACTCGAAGTTCAACTAAACATAATCGTTCATCAAAATTGCATAATGGAATAGAAACACCATCACCAATGCAAGTTCCTGAAAATGTGACAAACTTACTTAAAAGAGTCAAGAAACATGATCCGACAAATGACTCCAAGAGCAAGTCAAAGAGCTCTTCTCTAAGAGATAAGCTAAATATTGAAAACAAAAATGAAAGAACTGAAACTACTGAGTGCAGGTACAAGAATAATACAGTTGACAATGCCACTTCATCAATTGAAAAAAATAATTCTGTAAATAATAAAACTCTTTTAGTTGAAAAAGAAAATATCTCTCTTAACATTTGCGAAAAAAAAATAAAACAACAAACAGACTCGCAAATTGAAGAAAGTAATCAAAATAAAACATCAGAACAGGAAACCAACAACTATAATTTTAAAGAAAAAAGTTTTTCTAATAAAGTATTTTCTCATCCTGATGTAGACAAGACTATTAACTCATCACTGAGAGATTTAGACCCGGAGCCACTAGATGCCTCAACTAATGAAGAGCATCAATTACCTAATTTTTGTATTGATGAAAATGATGAAGATATGCATCTACGAATGGAGGCATTAAAATCGGCTATAATGAAAAAACATAACACTCGGGTTCTCAAGGGCAGCAAAAAAAACAAAAAATTAGTTAATGAAAAATTACGAAATATTCCAAGTCCTAATTTTATTGATGATTTTCCATTACTGGTAGAAATGTGTGACCCACATTCTCTTGAAAGTCAACAGCAAAAAGATAGTTACTTTAGCGAGGATATGGAACTTGATTCAGATATGGATCTCTCTGATTTAGAATCTCCATATTCTCCATCAGATGAAATAAACTCAAGTGAACTTAAACCAGTTATTTCTGATGTATCAAGTAATTCAAAAGTAAACTACATTCAAGATTCAAGCAAACATAAAATCTCAAATTTCAATGAGTCTAGACCTTATTCTCCATCTGATTCAACAGTATATGATCCTGAACTACCAGGAGTTCATTTTGAAAACGATCCAGCACCACTATCGTCTCAACCACCACTTCCAGCCCCACCAATTCCGCCTTTTTTGACTTCTCAGACAATGCTTCTTGGTTGCAATGTAGCTAGAAACCCGTTTGTTGAACCTCTTCAATTTTTATCACAGACAGATAAAAATTACGCAAATTCCAACCAGCCATCTAATTTAATGATGTTTACAAATAACTCTCAAACACTCAATTTTTCCAAAAACACAATTCTTACTTCCACTGCTACTGCCTCTAGCAATGTTCCTCTTTTGACTTCATCACTAGGAAATTTACCTCAAATGTCACAGAGTAAACTAATAAACATATCATCTGAAATTATGGATATGGAAACTGATTTGGATGGAAGTCCATTAGTTCCTATGGATGTAAAGAATAGTAATAATTTTGCAGAATGGCAAATTGCAAAAAATTTATCCCAGCCAGTATTTATTTCAGATGAATCTAAATCTGATTCAATTCACGCTCCTGTTTTGTGCAATATAAATCATAATCTAATTCCTGATACAGTACAACGTGCTAGTAATATACAAAGAATACTTGATCCAAAAAAATTACAAGCTAAATTATCACCTGTAACAAATAATGAAGCTTCTTTCAAAAAAGTCGACATGCAATTAGTATCACCTCAACCAGCTGTTATGAGAACCAATTTTGTGCCTATTCAAATTATTCCACCAACAAAACAAAAAGTGGCTAGTTCTACAGCACAAATTTTCAATGATGAGAACACTAATTTAAGAAAACGTAAAGCAGATAATTTGGTTTCTAATCTTCATGAGGATCAGATAAAAAAAATTAAAAATATCGAAACTAAAATTGAAGATGATAAAATTGTGCAAAATAAAGAATCTCTTGATAAAAGTACCAACGATGATGACGAGGAAGAACTTAGGGAATTACTAATTGCAAGCTTGAAAAAAAAGAATAACACTATGTCCGCTTCATGTATCGAAGGAACAGAAAAAAGTGAAAAAATATTTCGTTCTAAAGCTACTAAATCAAAGACAAATGCAACGGTGTTCGAAGGATTATCTCCAACTTCCTTAGAATCCAACTCAGAACCATGTTACACTCGAGAGAAATTGACATCAAGTCCAACAACAGAGAATTTCAAAGAAATTAAAAATAACGTTAAAATTTCGAATGATGCTCGGGAAGCAATCATTTCAGCTTGCAATAGAATTGAACAAAATAATTTAATCATCACATTTAGTGACGAAACCGAAAGTGACTCAGATAACAATGAAAATGCTATGTTAGACAATACATCTGGTAAAACTGATATAGAAAAAAGCGTGGCCGAATTTTTGAAAAGCGCTCGGCAAAAGCACGAAGCAGCAACAGCTGCAAATAATAATGTGTCAGTTCAGAAAGCTCCTGTGAATGCGGATTCGAAGCATGAACCAGCAAAAACAGCTGCTAGTAACAAAAAAATCCCTTCAATCAAAAAAATCCCCACTAATACGAATCCGAATGCAACAAAAAATACACTGACAAATTCCCCAGTACATATAAGATTTTGGCACTCATCTTCTAAAGTTAATATACTTGATCATCTCGGTGATAACGATTCGGAGATCAAACCATCGAATGTATCGACACAGAAGACAACAGTCACAAGTGTTTATTCTAATCCAGCTGATATTGGAAATATTAATTCATTTCCTGAAAAAATAAGTGTACCTGTGGTATCAAAAAATATGAATTTAGCTAAAAATATTGAAAAAGTAGAAAAAAATGTTAATAGTTCAACTAAGAATGTCGAGAAAGTATCCAATAATATTTCTAAACCAACGATTATTTCACAAGTTGAAAGCAAAAATTCCAAACTAAGTACAGTATCATCTGTTTCCACGAAAGTTAGCAAGACACAGACTGTAGCAAATTCAATATCAAAAACTAAGACTTTGATTTCATTAAAAGAAGTTAAGAAGGATCTTACACCACAAGCACTTGTAACTACACCACAGGTGAGATATTTTTCAAAAATTTTGAAAAAAAATTTACTTTTTGAATGAACATTTAAAAAAATTTTGAATTAAAACTAATTTTCAGGTTGTAAAACATTTGCCAGCCTCTAAACAAGAAGAATATAGACGTCTAAAATTAAAGCTAATTGAAATGGAGCGTAAGAAAAAATTAAAAGCTTCTACAGATACCTCGACAAAAAATTCAAGTATTGCTACACCAGCTTCGAGCTCACGAATTTCGACAACTACGACCACTCTTCCCACTACTACAGCTTCTACAATTGTTACAACTCGTGCTGCAGTTACTAATGCAAGTGTAACGAAGTCATCAATAACTACTAATGAAGCTTCAAAACCAACAGTTCCAATTAATAAACAAATTAACAAAACCCCTGGTGAGATAATAACGCGAACTAAGATCGTGCACGTACCGAAACCTGTTAGTCCGCGAGTTGCAAATAACTCTCAAAATATTGCAAGTTGTAATAAACAACCTGACGAAAACACAAAATCAACTGATCCACAAGTGCAAACAAAGGGTACAGTGCAGTGTAAAAAGCTGAAAATACTCACTCGTGAGCAAATAAGTCAAAAAATAACACAAATTCAAAATAAAATAAAAGATAAACAGGTACAAATGGATGATTTAAATGATTCCAAAGCTTGGAACTCGCCTAAAAAAAAGAAAACAGAAAACATCGAATCAAACTTAGATGAATTCAAACAAACTGTTAGTGATGAGGTCCAAAAATTAGCTGTTCTTCCTATTGATAAGCAAAAAAGCATGCTAGCTAAAGCAGAAGAAGACTTAGTTTCAGAAAGGTATAAATAATTAACATAAAAAAATAATTTTATCTATTCAGTTATATTAGCAATTTTATTAATTAAGTCACATAAAAAATTCAATATTTTATAGGCATACTGTACTGGACAAATTAACCGAAATATCAGGTTTCCTTCGCCAGTGGGAAATAGAGCGAGATTTAAAAAGTCTCTATAGTCAAGATGTTAAAAATTTGCGTGAGCAGCTCAGGCTTGCTGAAATGAAAATTGTACAACAGCAAGAGAAAATGAATACATTAAGTCCAAAAATATCTGAATTCCAAACAAAAATTAACACTGGAAGAAAAGAATGTTTCAGACTTTCTAAAATATGCAATAGTATTGGGCACAAGATTGTTGGACCAGAATACAAGTATGCATTAAATTTCATTTTATTCGATTTATCCTACTTCGGTAATTGTATTATAATATTTACTATTTTCAGAGTTCCTACTGCGGCAGCAGAACTGCTAAATAATCGTTTAAGTGAAGTTGTTAAACATACTGTTAGGCTACGTAAAAAAAAGAATAGCAGTGAAACACTACAAACGGGTAATTATACAGAAAAAAGTGTTAAAAAATCGAATAAGTCCATAAACCATAGCTTAAATCGTAAAAATTTAGTTAGCAAAAAAAGTAACAACGTTACCGTTAAGACTGAAGAATCAGAAACGGAATTTATAAAAAATGACGATTCTGGAAATAGTGAAACTGAAAAAATAACGTCAAATAGTGATAAATCAATTTTGAATCGTTCGGAAATTTCAAATTCTAATGCTCTCTGTGAGATTGACTCACAGGCGGAGTCAAGTACATCAGATTTAAAATTAAAAAGAAAAAATATTGCCAAATCTTACGGAAATGCTAAAATTAGAAAGGTTTTAAATTCTAAAATTTTAAACAATTCAGAAAATTCAAATAAATGTTCATCTTCTAACGACGTTACTACAACTTTAAACAATCATTCGGAAATTAATGGTTTGTCCACAATTGAAAACGGTGATCTTTCGGTAATAAAAATTAATACTAATGAAGGCGAAAATATAGCGTCTAGAGAATCGCCACAACAGATATCTAATATAACAGTCGAGTGTTCAAACGCGGTTGAAAAGGTAGACAAAAATATCGAAAGTACAACTGCTAAAGAAACAACAATTATCAGTGCAAAACAAGTAAACGCCGATAATATATCCAATTTAGAGAAGGCAAATGACATTGAAATGAATGAGTGTTCTAGTGATTTCGTTGAAGTTAATAGTAGCTGCAATAACTCTAAGATGAGCCCACATGAAACCAATTCAAGTGCAATAGAATGTTTGGAATCAGAAGAAAATTCAGTTTCTTTATCATCAAACTCAGCCAATGAATTTGTCACAGGGGGACAGGTTGACCTACATTTGCCTAAAGCTGTTGATGCTTTAGAAACTGAAATTGAAACAAATTTGAAAAAGAATTGCACATCATCAAAAGCAAATATTGAAAGTAATGGGGAAAAGTCTGTAGAGATTTCTGATACAGTCATGAATAATTCAGTGGTGGTACCTGACCCGATAGAGTTGATGATTAATAAACCTCAAAGTTGTACTGAGAAGAATGTTGATGTCAGTCTAAGCCAAAAAAATAGTGTGCCTGGACCAAGTACAAAGGCATTGTGTTGTGACGAGTCTTCAAAGTTGCCTATATTCTCTGAAACTGTCAATTCAGTAGGAGAGAAAAAATATGTGTTTCGGCCTTATGAATCGGTCTTAAAACATATAAATTTAACGAGGTCTGTAAATATTTTTTGTCTCTGACAAAAATTATTCAAAATGTATCGATAATGGGCCTTTTGTGTTTATTAGCAATATGGTGAATGGAATCCTGTGTCCCTTCGAGCTCATGGGCACGTGCAACGACGAAGAGTGTCCTAACATTCATCAATCCAGAAAGCAGTGATAAAATTGTTTAAGATGAAGAATGAAGGCGTTATTTTTCCGTAAGGTGGTTCTATCTAATAGATGGGCTATATCATCCTTTGAGCAAGGTCTCCACAAAAGAGACAATAAGTTTACAGATATCATTTTTATTTCTGAATTTTATACTTCCAAGCTTAAACTCACTTGTTTGATATCGGTATCTTATTTACTTCTTTTTTTATAGAAATAATGTAAAAAGAATTCATATCTCGACTTTTTGTCAGCAGATTTTTCTCTGGTACCTTCATTTTCAAGAAGCGCAACTTCTATGAGGTAATTTAATATTTTTTCTTTTCAGATATTTCAAGACGACCCATTCTTTCTATTGTGAAGATTGTTTTGTATAGTTCCAATATTGTTTGTGCTACATCATTGAAGATTGGTAAGTGATCTTCGTAACTCATGCAGGATATAATTTTGCTTTTTTAAGTCAAACTCGAAATTTTGTTTAAAGTTTTTTTCGATAATCCTTGCATTATTTTAATTTTTACTATGTCGGTGGCATTTTTTCTCATATTTTTAAGTTATTGGTATACATAATTTTAAAAAACAATAGCGTATTTTTACCCACTATACTTAAGTAAAAAAATTTGATTAATTATAAGGTAGGAAAGTTTACCTGTGTTATATGTACATAAAAATGTAAAAAAAAGTTGAAGATTTTTATACTCAAGTGGCTGCAGAAGATAATCAACGAGTCCAAATGCGAAGTGTATAAGTGAATATTAATAAAAAAAAGTTTACTAATTTTTTAAAAACTGATGTTGTTTATTCGATAATCCATTAAAAATCCAATTATCCTACATTTTTCCTTTATCAAATCAATACAAAAATGTCAATGAACCAAAGCAAAACAATTTATTTCCAATAATTAACTGACCAGCTCTTCATAACGATCTGCCGATCTCATCCCCGTTTGCCGTACGGGGCATCGGGAAAAACGCCATGCTTGAACCAGGGCATACGCTGCTCCAAGCGGTATTCGTCCCATCGTTCGACCCAAGCCATCGGACAAATAGACGTAAAGACTCGTTTGAACCACTGGCAAGCCTCGGCACCCTCGCCAAGTATGTGCTCGCATTGGTAAAAATCCGAATAGCTCACGTAACAGCGAAGCGTTTGGTTCTGCTGCTGGAATCTGAAGGGACGTAAGGTCTTGTGTTAATCATTTGACAAATTTATCTAAACAATGCGTAAAAACACGAATAAGGACCTCGGATCATTTCCGGGGGTTGAAAATTCAATCGGATCATCTTCTTTTTTTGGTTGACATCTCGGGTCGTCGGGACCTAAATATTCATCCGGATCCTCCACTTTCACCGCGACCTTTTTCAGTAAACCGAATTTTCCTTTCAGTCTTTCGGTCATGGTTTCAATTTTTTATTTTGAAAAGGATTACAATACTGCGTAAACTTTTAGGTTTGTTTTCAATTTCGATAAACATCGCTACTTGTAACTACGACACTGGTATAAATCGACTATTGTATAGGATAGCTTTCAATTTTTATTTGCAAGATTTTAATAATTTAATTTTATAAAAACTTTTTAATTATTAGTATTTATATGAGTCAATTTATTTGTCTTAGAATCGATTTTTTACAATTGAAATAATTCAACAAAAAGTAAATCTTAAGCTGAATCTTTTTCATTGTAATATCGCACCTATACTCTATTAGACACTTGACATCTCTCTACAACAAAGAACTGTATAAATTACCGCTGTTTGCCGTCAGAACTAACTGATAGCATAACATGTTCTGCTTTGTGCGAATATTCGCCACGTTATAGAACAAAATTTAAAGAAAGAATGTCGATAAACTTCTAATCAACGTAAAAAATTCAAACTATATTATCTATTAATGATCATAATGATCCCCGAAGCATTATGGACGTATCTCTTCGTATTTGCAGGGGCATTATTAACTGTAGTAAGTACACCCAAAAGGTTATATTTTTGTTTGCATATGCCTGTCACATATTCAATGTATGATTAAATAATAACAGTTAATTCATATAAAATATATTAATTTACTTTAGAATAATAATAAAAATTGTTTACTAATTACTTAATAAATTTTACAGGCAATAGCTATGGTTTACTTACTGTGCAAGTACACTGAAGCATATCCTAAAGTTCATCGCTATGATGAAGAAAAATATTTTACTAATCCCAATACTGGAAAAAAAGTTGCATTTCCATCAATTGATGAAAACTGGAGTGTTAATATTAGTGTTATTGTGCCTGCTTATAACGAGGAGACCAGATGTGAGCCAAATGCCTATGTATTTTTGTTGCTATTTTCACAAATTAATTGGTATTGTAATAAATTAAACATTTTTTGTAGTACCTCCAATGCTTGATGATTGTCTCAAATATTTAGAGGAAAAATCAAGGTCTGGTGTATCTTATGAAATCATAATAGTTAGTGATGGAAGTACTGATAAGACTGTTGAAGTTGCTGAATCTTATGCTAAAAAATACAATACTATTAGGGTTTTAGCTTTAACAAAGAATCGAGGAAAAGGTGGTGCTGTGAGGTTGGTGAGTATATAAAATTAAAAATTAAAACCAATTAATTTCACATTCAAACAAAACATAAATATACTTTTTGATTTTAGGGTATGCTAAGTGCAAGAGGAAGTGTGATGCTTTTTGCAGATGCTGATGGTGCAACAACATTTAATGACTTGGATAAATTAAATGAGAGTCTAAGGAGTATTTTAGGATGTATGCATTTTTTTCATTCAATGTCATTATAATTTCTAAAATTATTATTTTTATTTTTAGTTGATTACATCAATTCTCCTGGAAAAACTGCTGAATCTCATGCTATTGTTTGTGGATCAAGAGCTCATCTAGAAGAAGAAGAAAAAGCTAAAAGATCTCTTTTCAGATTATTTTTAATGTATGGATTCCACTTTTTAGTATGGTTGCTTTGTGTACGCAGTGTACATGATACACAATGTGGTTTCAAACTTTTGACTCGTGCTTCAGCAAGACTTGTGTTCGCAGCATTACACGTCGAACGCTGGGCTTTTGATGTTGAAATGCTCTACATAGCAGAAGTTCTAAATTTGCCTATCACTGAAGTTGCTGTTGAATGGCAAGAAATAGATGGAAGTAAAATTGTACCTGTCTGGAGCTGGTTGCAAATGGGTAGAGATCTGGGTTTGATATCTCTAAGGTACAAATTAGGAGCTTGGAAGATAGCTAAACCAAAAGTCAATTGAAAAAAAAAACAAGATTTCTTCTAAAAGTCAAGAACCTTAGATGACTCTTTTATGAAAATAATGAGCTGAAAACCCCAGATGAAAAACCCAATTCCCCAGTTCTGTAAAGAGTCAACTTCAGTGTCAGAAGTTGTGGATTTTGATGAATTTAGATTGTGCTATGAGTGTTGTATGCATTTTTATAAATTATATTTATAATATTTGTAATGTTGTTTACAATAGCTAATTTTTCAGAGAAAAATTATGAAGTTGTGTGTACTATGTACAATCATTTGACAATATATTTTGTATTATATTTTTCAATCATAAAATGTTTCCCTTTATACATTTTTATAAAAAGCTCAAAATTTATATAAATTCAATATACATTTACGAGCGTTACATTTCATAAAATAAACAAATTTTATCTATGAATTAATTACAAAATAAAAAATCTCAGTTTCGACTACTTCGCGTTATTAATAGGAGCAGTAACGGAATTCCATTATCCCCAAGCTAAAAGTTTTTTAGATATCGAAATTTATGAGTACACTTCAGCAAACAATCGAAATCAAAAAACCACGTGACCGCAAACGTCACACTTACGATGCGAAATTGTGATAGAGGCCTACTGGCTACTACCCGCGAGTAATTACCCAAAGTTTCGTCATCAATCGGTAACACAAATACTAATATAGCTATATATGCTATATATGTTTACGTGAGCTACCGTTGTCAGTGTGTCGTCAGTATTCGCAGTTCTTGATAAACCTCATACGCTTACTTAGTCAGTTCAGTACTTCTGCGCCCGGTGTTGCAAACGTACATTCACGCACACGCCTTCGCTAATTTTTCTCTAAAAACTTTTTACAGTTTACGTTAAAAACTTTATTAAACGTCAACATGGCCTACGCTGCACAAGTACCTAGCCGTGACTTCCTCTGGGATGTTTTCAGAAGGTAAATTTTGCATATTTTTCAAAAATGGCGAATTTCTTAAGATCAGCACTTCGCGTACCTGACGTGGCTTCTAGATGCACACTACAATCTATTTATTGCTCATATGATTCATGAACAGTTATCAAACTGTCAATTGATTGTTTTATCATCGAAATCGTCACTCGGCTATTTGCGCAACTTTTCAAATGGAATCTGTATTTCTTATCAACTGCATGGCATGAACACCTAAATTTCAATTTGAGGGCATGAACCTATATGTTTTTAATTTATATATTCTTTCAGCTACTTAATTTTATTAAACTGCCCTTGTGTACCAGCTGTACTTTAAACTCACTAAAATTATTCAATATCTGCTTCAATGATAAATTTTGAACATTTATTCAAGGAAATCATAGATGACAGTTTTTTAGACAAGAAACAAATCATTAATATTTTTCTAAAATTTAATATTTATTTCAGAGTCGATAAAGATAATTCTGGACAAATTTCTTCTGATGAATTGCAAGCAGCTTTGTCAAATGGCACATGGACACCTTTCAATCCAGAAACTGTTCGTCTTATGATTGGTATGTTAACCTTTTTTGAAATTGTATTTCAATGTGTGATTTTTGGAAACTTAGCTTTTTCCCCATAGAACATTGCAAAAAGACCATCTTTTTTGGTTTTCATAAAAAATTCTCATGCTTTTTTTTTATTGTTCTTTGTTACACTGCATATATTTCACACGACATTCATTTTCTTATTAGCTTTTTGATGCTTGTGATTAATAAAATTTCCTTTAGTAGTTCAGTCTACTCATTTGCATGAAAAGTGAAATATATTATGTGTTCAAATGGGCTTTTGCTTAATTCTATTGAAACAGGTATGTTTGACAATGACAAACCCAATCAAAACTCTTCAGGTATGTTCGATAAAAAGGGCAGTGGAACTGTAAACTTTGAAGAATTTGGTGCCCTTTGGAAGTACGTAACTGACTGGCAGAATTGCTTCAGATCTTTTGACAGAGATAATAGTGGCAACATTGACAAAAATGAACTTAAAACAGCGTTGACCAACTTTGGATATAGATTATCAGAACCAATTATAGATACTCTTATGCGAAAATATGATAGAGCTGGTCGAGGAACAATATATTTTGATGATTTCATTCAATTGTGTGTTGTTTTGCACGTGAGTTACTTTGAATGTAATTTTTATACAAAAATGTTATGTTCATTTTTCATATTTTACTTATTAATGAATCTGCTTTCAGACTTTGACTTCTGCCTTCAGACAATTTGATACAGACATGGATGGAGTTATAACAATCCACTATGAACAATTTTTAGGAATGGTTTTTAACTTGAAAGTATAAATACTTTAAAAAGAAATATTTCTCTACATTCAACTTCCAAATCTACTTGATGTCAATAATCAAGCTTGTTCTCACATTCTCTTGATGAAAATATCGACTTTTTTGGGAATTCTTTTTCATTCAAGCCAAAAGGTTGCCAAATAGTTCTCACAGAGCATCAATTGATTGACATGGAACATTAATTATGTTCTTTTAAGTTACCTATTAAATACAGTGATATAAATAAAAAGTGTACTAGATAAACAACAATTTAATTGTTGCTGTTAAATGAAAAGGGAAAAAAAATTAATAACATTCCTACACAATACCATGCTTTTTAAATTGTTTGGATATAAAAGAACTTATATTGATCAAACTTTAAACTCTAATCATATTCATATTATAATTAAATTTATCAAAGAACAAAAGTTAGATTATATCAATGTTAAAAATGAAAGTAATAGTTTATTTTTTTGTACAATACAAATTTCACTGCTTCAAAGTTTTTATGTATTGAATCTTCGTCAAGTTTGTAAATTTATAAGTATTTTTCTATTCTCAATGACTATCCTTCCAAGAAATGTTTCTATGCATAAAAAAGTATTGATGTTAATAAAATAAAAATATGTACCAAAAGTTGATAACTTTAATATTTAAAATCTCGATCTTTATAAATATTTAATAATTTTTTAACAATTGTAACAATTAAAACATTAAAACACACTATTGACGACTATTTTATCGTTACTTTATTAATTTTTTCCCGCTTTTCCCAAATTTTCAAATAAAATAGAATGTTTTCCGTGATTCTTATTATTTAATTTGGTATAGTGGAAAATTCAAATGAATAAAATTCAGTTTAAAAAATTTAATTTTAGCTCAAATTTTTAAATATTATCTTGTCTGTAATGGCGTTTTGAAAGTTGAAACTCACGCAGATACGTTAGTATCGGTCAATCACGTGACCATACCGTGAGTTGCAACAGAAGTCACCTCGTTGCAGCATCGTGTACGCACTTCGCACTGTTCATTGTCAGACTGTCATTCTTCACGTGTAAATATAAGTGTTTGGCTTGCTTAAAATTTTTAGTGAAACATCAATAGTTAACCCATATGCCCTCGTTATTAATGCTCAATTCCCTTGGCGTGAAACCCTTCAAAAACAATTATTTTCTTCGTGAACTTTCATTGTCAACTCGTCTAAATTAATGGGATTCACGTCAACAATTCGCAGTGCATTTATAGGTTTACCAATTGGCTTTTTGTTCTTCAGTCAAGTTGGTTACGTTGCACGGGTCGAGGGTGTCTCAATGCAACCGGCCTTGAATCCCGACATTCAACAAGAAGATTATGTGTTCTTAAATCGTTGGGTAGTTCGAGATAAAAATATAAAACGCGGAGATATTGTGACGTTTAAATCACCTAAGTATCCGCACCAAAAACTCATAAAACGCGTTATCGGTCTTTCTGGTGATGTTATCCATACCCTTGGTTACAGAAAAAACGTACTTGAGGTTTGTAAAGCTGCAAAAGTTACAAAAGTCCAGAAACATTTTTTAAAGAACTTAATTTTTTTAGATACCAGAAAGTCAATGCTGGGTTGAAGGTGATCATACTGGACATTCTATGGACTCCAATACTTTTGGACCAATACCACTTGATAACATAACTGCCAAAGCTACGTTTATTGTGTGGCCACCGGGTAGATGGCAAAACTTAGATAACAATTACGTGCCTGATAACCGCTTACCATTAAATGAAATACACGTTATAGCAGCATAGTTAAATATATTTTCTTACAATCATGAGAGCTGTGTGTTTTGTAAAACGCCTGCAGTTTGATGTACCTGGAACTGTTTCCAGGCACAGCTTAGCTATGGGCGATGTAGATAATGATGGAAATAATGAATTAGCGGTTGGAACTGCTGAAGGAGAACTTTATATTTTCAAGGTTCTTATAGTTTGATATATAAAGCGAATGATAACAAATTTCATAAAATATTTATTTAAAATTATATCTAGGGTCAAATTCTATGGCAAAAAATTACTGGCCTTGGCATGATTACAAGTATTGTCATTGGTGATATATTTAATCATGGAAAAAATGCTTTAATTGTAATCAGTGGAGATGGTTGGGTGCATATATATTATTTCTCTCAATCAGTTAGACCTAATTGGAATACTCTACAATTTAAGGCTGCTGATTCTGAAAACCATGATACAGTTGATCAAAATGCTTCAAAATTGAAAACAGGTATTTATTGATCAATTTTCGGTCCAATCTTTTATCATTCAATAAAATCTCATTTTATTTTCAGATAATGGAGCATTTAACAACAACGTAGATCAATCAAATTTAGAAGTCAAAATTGGTCCCACAAAAACTGATGATACAGCTCCAAAGATGGAATGTGTTCATGTACAAAGAATTCCTACAAATACAAAAGTAGCTTTAATAGCAGATGTTGATAAAGATGGTGCTAATGAACTGATTATTGGTTTGACAGATCGGGTGGTAAGGTCATACAGATGGTCAAACAATTTAGAACTTGGGAGTGGAAAACTTATGGGCTTGAATAAATGGGAATGTGCTAATCAAATAGGAACAGTAACTTTGCAAGATAGTGCTGATGGTACCCCTACACTGTTGGTTGCTCAACCAGGAGGGACTTTCATGAGAATAAAGTGCAATTATGGAAACTGTGAATTGGAAGATGATTCTTCAGAAAATAATACAGAGTCAAGTACCAGCAATGTGGACTATCAAACACTTGGAATATCAAGAATGAGAAATCCTAATATATCTACTGAAATTGTGGGTAATTTGAAACCCAAAGATAACAAAAAAATTAAACCCATATACATAGCTGCAAATACTCATGTACATAAATCTAATTTTGAAGAGGAACCTGTAAGTGAACGTATTTCCTCTCATAACTTAGATGAAAAAGAACCTGTGGGCGTTGATTCAGTCGATGGGAATTTAATAGGAGGAAACATAGTTCTAGGCGAATTTAAACCCCCTAAAAATGATTTAATTTATCCGACTTCACCTGTCAAATATGCAGAAGATAATTTATTCAAAAAAATGGAAGATTTAAAAATAAAAGACGTAACTACAGATAATTTAGAAAATAGTTTGAACGAAGAAAGCCAACTTTGGTCAAATTCAAAATCATATGCTATAGCAACTTTAGATGGAACAATAATGCTGGTTCAGGATGAAGTCATTCTATGGTTGGTACTATTTCCAATTATTTTCTGTATAGTTCCCCTAATCTTATGCAAAAAAATTTCATGATCACTTAGTTTCTGGTTGAAATTTTCTAAACATGCTACAAATGATCATTTTAATTTTGTATTGCGGGTAAATATCATGCAAGTTTAATTTACTAAAAGATTAATAGATGACGCTAGTTACTCGTCCAAGTCGAAGTAAGTTCTTTCAAGTAGAAATTCGAACAGTGTGTCTTCTCAAAAATCTCTTGACTAAAATATAACATTTTGCAATTCAATTTTTTTTTCAAATAAAGTAATATCGAATTTAAAAGATATCAATAAAAATGTTTGTGACGTAAAAATCATTGTAAAAATATGGCTTAACGAATATTTTTCCGTGAGAAATGAATAATTTCTCTTTCAAATTTTGTCGTTAAAATTCATCAATAAAAAAAAAGAAGAAAATAACTAAAACGGGATGATTTTAAATGAGTTAAATGATTTCGTAAAAAGTCGAGTTACTCGAGCCGCATCACCCTGCGGATTCTGCAAACAATATAAAGGGCCATAAACGATAGGGAGTGATTCGTCAATCATTTCGTGCTTCGTGGCAGCTCCTTCTCGATTACACGAATAATAACTTTTTGCTCGTAAGGGGTTCATGAAACGTATATATCATCATCGAAAAAATCTGTGTGCGATTACATCGCGCGAGAATCGTTCGGGGAAAAAAAATAATTCAAGTCCGGTACGCGGCGGTGAATATTAGGTGTGCTCGTGTATTGACTTGGGCTATATAAGAACGCACGGGAGAAAAGAGAGGAAGACCCCCTGAGGTGTCAACACACGCACACACACAAACGCATATTCGCGCGCTACGTTTACCAAGGCGGGCGATCTGCCTCGCACGTTCCCGAATTCGCATAATATTTTAATATCTACTTCTCGTCCGAGGCCGAATTCCAATGGTCCAAGCGAGCGAGCGAGCGTAAAAAAAAACGAGAAGAAGAATCGGCAGAAGGAGACTGCTTGTCAATTTTGGAAGTAGCTGTATACATTCAAAATACATATATATGAACTTTTATACGTGTATAATATATACGCGTGTGCGGGATTCCATTCGAAAAGTCAGACTGCGTGGCGGTTCCTCGAGACGCGAGGACGCGATAATATCTCCTCTCGCGATATTCATCCTTTTGGGAGTCGCTCGCTTAGAGCTGCTCCGTGCCATCTTCTCCGCGCGCGATGGAGAAATCAAGCGACGAGTTGTATATATTATAAATTCGCGCTTGTAAATTTGTGCGTGTGTATCGAGTGTCACACCTACTCGCGAATACGTATATTATATTATGTATAATGTATAATATAATTTCCAAAGCGATACGGAGAAATGACTTTTAACCGGTATATTATTTTTTTCCCCGATCTTCGTCCATTATATGTCAATGATTTTCGAATGCTCGTCTTGTCTACCATTTTTGATTTTTCAATTCTCTGACACCTTACAAACATGTTGTGCAGGCATTATTAACATTTACATCAAGCCGGACTTCTCTTCGCCGGAAGCTCGATATATTTTGTCGAAAAATTAATCCACGCTCATTAAGTTCGCGGGTCTTTCATCGAAATTCGCCCGATGCCATATGCGGGATCATCGAACGGATCGAGTCCGCGCGCTTTTATGTACTCATCATCGCGATCGCATAATGTTTCATCGACGCTGACCCGAAAATGTTTTATTGCGCAGGTCGATGCAAGTGGACCACAACATCTCGGCGCTCTATCCGCTGGACGTGACGGGCGACGGGGCCGACGAGATCATAGCCTGCACCTGGGACGGCCAGACCTACATCCTCGACCAGGAGCGCAACAGCGTGAGGTTCCAGTTCGAGGAGCCGGTCCGCGCATTCTGCGCCGGCAGCTACAGTCGCGAGCCCGGCACCAACACTCCGTGCCTCGTTTACAACAATTTTTACAACAAGGTATAAACAAAACAGAAAGAATGAAAGAGGGAAAAAAAGAAAGAAGAGAAGAAATGACAGTCGTGTCCACCTGCCTCGCGGAATGCACAAGAGTCAGCCAGCCAACGTGTACGATTGCGGCTCGATTAAATCAAGAGAAAGAGCGAGCATAGAAATGCCTCGAATGCGATGATAATATCGTGCAATCCGCGAGGCAAATTGGCATTGAGTGACGTTTTCTTCGCTGCATACGTTTAAATACTCAGCTCGAGCGCTGATTTTTGTAACGAGCGAGCGAGAAAGAGAGGGACACTTTTTTGAAGCGTTATGGCAAGTGCAAAAATATGTCGCGCGTCTCTCTCTCTCTCTCTCTCTCTCGTTCGCTCGTTGCTCCCATCTGCATTCTCTCTTTCTTTCTGCCTTCTCCTTTCGCTCAACGAGTATCCTGCGTATGTATATAAACATGTGTGCGTGTGTTTGTGTCGTTGCAGATAATCCTGTACTACGACGTAAGTCTTCCAAGTATGGTAGTGACCGCGCTTAATCCTGAAGAGTCACTGAGCAAGCGGCAGTGCGACCAACTGAAGGATATTTTGAGCCCCGCTGCCAATGTCACAGGCGACGGCGGCGACGACGACGACAACGACAACGACGGCAACGGCAACAGCAACGGCGGCGCTCAGCGCGACGCTCAGCTCAGATACTTGACTGACTGGCTGCTCTACGGCTGCATGCATCAAGAGCCCGATGCATCTGAATCCAGTGCATCATCCACCAACGAAGGCGGTGACGGCGACGGCGGAGACGTCGACAACGACCACGATGATTAGCGGCGCGGATAACGCGCGTAGCATAATATGCAAGCGTGTGCGGCGCGTCCCGAGTTATATCCATCGTTTTTATAGCTAAAATACGTATACTGTATAGGATTTTTTTTAACACCGGCTACGAGACGCGAATAATATATGCATGTACGTAAACACGCACACACCACGACGTAATACACTATGCATCCGAGTGTGTGGGTATGTAACAAAATATATAAATGTTGTACATATATCATAAAAAATATAAGTAAGCCTCGTTTTATTGCTAAATACCGTCACCTGTCCGTACAATCGCCTCTCTTCCGCCTCGTCGTTTTGTCTTTCACTAGCGCGCGCGGCTCGTATTTTTTTTCACCTGTGTCAACCTTTTCGAAATCGCTCCTCTTTCCCTGTCGTCCCTCGGGATCTCTCGATGTACAGGTACACGCGCGTACGCGACTAATTATGCTATCTCCGAGACGAGATTAAGCGTAAAAACGATTAGAGGCCTGCCTACACGTATGACAGAGCAGGCAGTGGCCGCGTTCAAAAAGGTGTCCGTCGAAGACGCGCGTCTAATTGGACATTTCCGGCTTTTGATTGGGAAATCGCGAGAGGCACGTTAATACACAAAGTGAGCGAGAGCCGTTCGCGGAAGAAGACGAGAGAAGCGCGCGCTGATTTTATCATTTTTTTTATTTCTTATTTTGACACGAGGATATCGGGTAACCGACGTCTCAAACGTCACTCGCCCGCAATAAATCCAGCGCGAATCATCGCCATTATGTATATTTTTTTCCAATATGTTTATTAATTTATATGACACATAATTATCATTTAAATTGTTTGCACTTTTCGTGTGTTCACTCGCACTCTCATCGCACAAATAGTCTCGATCGTACATTCAGACATACATACACACGCACATACGTATTATCGTTGTAGCTCACGCATTTTGGGCATAAAAAAAAGAGGAGAAAAAAAATGAATTTCGATAAAGACAAAAAGGAGGTAAAATGCGCTCGCCATTAACCACGCAACATTCGTATTATTTTTGTTCTCTAATATAAATCGTTATATGCAGTACGTATGTTACATCGCTATTTATGCATCGATGAGAAGCTTTTAATAAATCGAATCGTTTCGTCGCACGATCCGTACACACACGCACATAATACATTTTCGTTTTTCGAGTTTTGGTTTCGGCAATCGCACACGCGCGCGCGCGTATACAAATTTTAATTTTGTTGTTGTAACTTTTTTTATACTTTGCTACGCGTCGCTGCACAACAACGGCAGCGGGCCCATCCATTCGTCCATCCAGCGATACAAACGTATATGTATGCATAATACACGCACTCTCTCACACACCCGATCGATACACATGTATGTATATATTTTATTTTGCCCTCGTCGTACAGTGGCTTTTATATTACGCACGTAATACATCGGCCATCGACGATTCTCTCTCCTCCGTGTCGGCAGTCCGAAAAACCGAGTTCACATATCTTTTCATGCTCGCACGCATACACACATTAACAATTGTTATATTATCAACGTCGTCGTGCTCGATATATAACATACACACATACGTACATACAAACACGATGGGCTATGTGTATAAAGGGAAGGGCCTCCATCGTAGGATGGGTTTGTTTTCCTAGCACTTGTAGGCGAAAGTCTCTCTGCGCGCGGCTTTCTTTCTCCGTCGCAGCATAGCGGCAGTATTAGCACAACGAGCGACAGACCGACAAAGTCCTCGTGAATACAATCGCGGCGACCCCCCGACTATCGCCGTCTTCTTGGGTCGTCGAGTGGCCGAGAGGATGACCCAGTTGCACCCCTCGGCGCGCCAGCGAGACACGGCTGAAAGTCGAGAATTTTTCGTTCCGTCTCAATTCTTCCCTTCGCCGGCGGCGGTGGTGACGTTTCGCAAGCTTCGCGCGTCGAGACAAACGTACGTGTGTCGGGTCGATATATCGAGCTTTTGCGCGTTCGCGAGTGAGTGTCGTTTTTCGTCCGCGCGACACACAATACGTAGATGATTTCGCGGAAAAAAAACCTTCGTTGTCGCTGTAGTTGTCGAGCTGTACGACACAATCGCAGCACAGGGAGACCCTCGCGCGACGTGCGCGCGATTTTTTCGCTACAATTCTTATCCGCACGGAGAAAAAGAATGTGATATGCTTTCTGATCGAGTATATCTCTTTATACTGCACCGACACTGACATTAAGTGGCTATGCAAAATCGTCCGAAAATAACGTGTATAAAAAAAATCAATGATCGTTATAAAATGCGGTAATTATTGAAATGACTTCGCGTGTAGTACTACGCCGGTGTCCATAAATCGTCGGGATAACTCGTTTATTTTTTCACGAAAATTAACAATACAACAAATCGACTGTGTGTATATCATATGTGTTAGTGTGTGATTAATAGCCAATTAATCTCCATTCGCGTTCGCAATATATAATATGTACAAATCGTTATTTCGATGTATTTCTTTATTTTTTTTTGTTCTTGTCGTATAGCAAAATTTTTTCAATTACTACATCGCCGTTTAATCGTATCTATGTTTACGTATGATAATCGTTTATTTAAATCTATATAATATGTATAATATTGATTCGAGATCTCGCTGAGTTTTACAAATTATTTTATTTATTTATAATAATATATTAATGCGATATCGTAATTTTTCTCATTTTCATTTTATATATATAATATATATACTATATTTATATGTATATTTTATTTACACATGCCAGCTTTTTTAAACACAAAATCTGTATTTATACTTTTGTTTCATTTACATTCATATTTATACTTTATTTATATTATTTATATATATTATATTTATATATCTTCACGTATCCAATAGATTTAACGTACCGTTAGGGTCATCGATATTTACAAAATGACGTTTCGCGTGACACGCTCGAAAAATCACATTCGAGAGATGCGCGTGATCGCTGCCGCATATATTCGTTACAGCGAGAGATGAGTCGACGCATCGATCGCCTCGAAAATAGTATAAATATATTTCGTATATATATACACATACACACGCATGCACGTACAAGGATACTGGCAATTTTTCGCGCACACATTTCGCATTTGACATTTTAATTCAACTTCATCTGACGGAGATCGCCGTTTTAATGTTATTTAAACGTCAAAACGTCGTCGTCGGTTTTATACATAAATCGGGGAAAAATGACAAGAACTGCGAGTGCGACTTTTCATCTTTTTTTTATCTTTTTTTTTCGTCTTTGCTCATCTTTTTTGTAATGTAAAAGTGTGTTGTGATGGTACGTGCTAAAAAAAAAAACTAACGATCAATCGCCGCGCAATCGGTACGGGTATGACTAGTCGAATCCTCATACTGATCGAGCCGTGTATCATAATATTGCAAAAATTATATTGGCGCATAGCAGCGACGATGTCTGCTGCATGGACATGATATAATAATAATAATAATGAAAAAATACGAAGAGAAAAGTATAGTTGCGTTAAAACGAATAAAGAATAGATCGTCGATAATAATAACAATAATAATAAAAGATGACTCGAGGCGAAATTGGCTAGTTGTTGTAGCGTCAGCATCGGCAGCAATGAAGATGGTTCCAATAGACGATTATCCGGATGCTCTCCTCTACTTGCGATCGCCCCAGCCGGCGCTGTTGTAGAACCACGAGGACGCGTTCTCGTCGCGTGTCCTTGGCCAAGTGTTGTCGAGCCCGTTCGTGGCGCCGCTCTCCTGCTTGTCCAAGTTTTCCAGCCACAGCAGCAACGAGACGAGAGAGAGAGAAGAAAAAGAGATAAAAACCAAACATGCACACATTTTCATATATAATAAGTAAGTATATATTTTACGATAGTCTGTACGTGCGCGATGCATTAAATGCGTTTAAGCACAATATAATCCGCGACGTTGAGTAAGTCGACTAGCTCGACGCGAGCGCCGAGCCGATTGAGAAATATAAACTCGCGAAAATGTTTTGCGTTTAAAGAAAAAAGTAAGCAAATAAAAGAGATAGAGATATAGAGAAAGAAACTTACAACGACGCTGAGCTGATGACTGGTCGGCGACAAATAATCCATATTGCTGTAATAGGAGGAGTAGTTCTGGTAGCACTGCTGCTGGCCCGCCGCGGCGCCGGCCGTCGCCCAGGCCGAGAGCCTCTGGTGATCGCTGGACGGGAAGCAGGCCCCGCCGCCGCTTTCCGTCACGGCCGGGCTCCAGATGCTGTTGCTGCTTCCGCCGCTGCTGTACACGGTTCCACCCAGCTGCAATCATCAACGGACACGGACGACATTGAAGCGTTGTATATATATGTAGATCGTTTATGTGCACTCTACGTAGTAGGCGCTATCACAACACAATTGTGTCGTCGGAGAGCGGGAGAAAGCCCCCGCGCGCCGCATAATATCGTCAACCCCCAGCTGTATAGCTTAACTTATACACATTATACACGCACGCAATGTGTACACAGCCAAGTGAGAAATCGAATTCGTAGATGATGCGAAGGGTTGGTTAGAGACGACGATTCTGCAGCAGCACGCGTTAACGCGTCCGAGAGTATACAAGCGACGACGAAGCGGGGATTGTTTTCGCAGAGCACGTGTTTTTAATAACGTCCCCAATTCTACTACCATGATCCTATACCTATATCTTTTCGAAGCGATTCGCTTTTAGAGCTTGGCTTGATACGGCGCGTACATTACGCGCATTAGGCTTTGAGCGAGCGACGCGTGAAAAGCAGCAGTAGCAGCAGCAACCCATCGTCGCTGTATATTCATATTTATACGACCTTTAAATGAATCAGCGCGAGGCTCGAAGGCTCGATTTCGATTAAAATATTACTCGTTTTCTGCTGCTGCTGCTGCTGCTGCTGCTGCCGCTTACATCGTTTTTCGTTGTTGCCTTTTTTGCAAAAAAAGAGTGAGAGAGAGAAAAAAGAAGAAAAAAAGGAAAAGAGACTGCTGCATTTATGTTATTTACACGCTGTATATGGACGTATGCTCGGGGCGCGCGCGATAACTTCTTCTTTCGAGGCTCTCGCGAATTAGCATAATTTCGCGATTTCATTTGCAGATAAGGACGTTCAGAGGTCTCGGGCGCGCGAAAAGCAGCGCCCGACGTATAAGATTGTTATCCTCTCGCGGCTACTGCTGCTGCCGTGCTTTGACCGTTTGGCTTGCGTAAGCCAAGTAGCTGCGCAGATGTATTTTAGAATTAAAAAAATACATGCATATATCAAGCTCCCTTGCCAGATTTTTCGGATATACATGTTATATACCTGGCCTATACAGGAGAATTCGTGGATCGAGTTCTACGACGAGGACGAGGAGTTTTTCGCAGCACGACTCGAACGGGAAAATTACGAGAAAGACGAGCTCGCGCGTATTAGCCGATTTGACAAGATGCTTCTTCTTCTTTTTTCTTCGCAACCGTATACACGCATAAACGTCCTTCTGCTCCTCTGCCCCTCGCTCCGAAATATAATGAATTTTTGGGCCTGCCTGACTACCTGCTGCCTGTGTGTGATCTTTTAAATTGCCGTGGCGATACGTGCGCGCATATGAAATAAAATATTCTTAGAAAAAAAGAAGATGAAGAAAAAGCGGCGAAGGAGCTAAATGAGCAGCATCGTATGGACGAGCATATACAGATTGGGCGACACATCCTCTCTGTCTCTCTGTTGCTGCTGTTGCTATACCTCTCGCTCCCTCACGAGCACAACACATCTCGTCGTCGAGTTCGCCTCCTTTATAGCTCAATATAATATATATACACGCGCACACAAATATAGGCAGAAATCGCGCAGACAAAATCCGCGAAAATATGAATATTAATAATCAAAATCTATAATAGGCCTTATATTCGTCCCAAAGAGAGTGAGAGCAAAAAATCACGATCGTCATCCACGGCAACACACACACATATATATTCGGGCTCTCGATATACATACGTGCCGGAATACATATATGAATTTCCTAAAACCCATCGAATAGCTCGCATACCGCACTTCATTTGAACACATATATAGCAGTAGATCGAGAGAGAGAGAGAGAGAAAAAAAAATGAGAAGAAGCGAGAAGGTGAAAAAAAGAGCTATATAGGCATATGTGTGCGCATAAACGCTATAACATCGCTGGACTCCAGGAGCAGCGTATACATAAAAACTACCTATGCGGAAATTAACATTTCTTCGCTCTGGCTGGAGGTTTTTTGTGTCCGTCGCAGCAGCCGGCATGTCGTCTCTTTTACTCGACCTCAGCTCTCTCTCTCTCTCTCTCTCTCTCAGCACGGAGCAACAGCTCCGTGGCAAAAATCACACATATCTCGTTCTGCCAGTTCTCTGCGTGCACGCATGGGGCTATATATTAATCGTCGTGCGCGCTCGTGCATATATTGTGTGTTTGATGATACACAGAGAGAAAGAGAGCATGATCGTATGCGCTGCCGAAATGAGTATAGCATATAGGTAGTCGTCGGCGCGTGCACACGTGAAAGCCAATACGTGACACCGTGAGCCATGGAGGAAAAATACCGCATAGTTTCGAGGATAGCTATAGACACGGCAGCCAGAGCTCGAAGGGCTCGATCGAGAGGCGTAACATTAGACGCGCAGCGATTTGAAAGCTATACCCTCGCATGATATACACGCGATACGTTATAGACACTTACACTGGGTGGCGTCGTGCTGGCTGTCAATAATAGTCCCGTAGCCGCTGCCGAGGACGAGTTGCCACCTACGCCGCTGCCCAGGCCCGCGTTCGACGCGTTGCCCGCGGATCCTCCTCCGCCGCCGCTATTGATGCTGCCGCCGTGATTCGGCTTGTATTGATGCGGCGAGTCGCGCATCAGGGCCGGCGAGCTCGCTGCCGAGCCCGCTGTGCCGCCCGACCTGCAACAAGCAAAATAAGAGAGAGATGCACATTATATTACGTACAATATGTACTGCTACATAATGGGGGGCAAATATTAGGATGCCTTCGAGATTCGTATTCCATTGCTTCTGCTGCTGGTTCAATGAGTAATATATATTTTTCCCTCTTATTATTCTCCGCGATTCAATTATAGCATATTTTCCGACAACTTGCGCGCCCTGTATGTGTGGACACAATCGAGCGTACACATTACGCTTCTCGTTCGCGCGTGAATGCCGCGTATATTTTGACAAGTGACGTGACAGCTCTGAAAATGCCCCAAAAATGCCCTGCGCTATTGCTCCTCTTCATCTTTTCAGCTGTGTAGAGCTCAACTTTGCTTTTGATTCCGCCTCTCTCCTATATATTATATATGTATTTTATATACCCTATATAGTGCGTATTCTTATGCCCACACATTATTGCTCCGATTGATGTTTCTATTATGGTACACGCGCGTCGACATGAGTCTTTTTTTCATATTTATACACATTACACTCGTGCGCGCATCAAGGATGTAACACGCGTCACTTTAAAAATCGATCAATTTTCTCTCAAAAATGTGCGCAAAAACATCGACACGAGCGCTAAAATATCTGCATTGAGACTCGGCGCTAACTTTGCTCCTTTATCGAGCAAAAATGTTTATATTCGCCGTACAGCGAATGCTCATAATATATATTGTATATACGAAAAATGACGGATTAGCACAAGTACTCGAGTCGCGAATGCGCGGATTACGCGAGCCTCGAATATTACGATAAGCTCGCGCGGGCGCGCGCGCGAACGCTTAATGTCTTGTCGACGATTCTTCTCTCTCTCTCTCTCTCTCTCTCTCTTTATAGACTTAAACTTTCAAAATTTCTTCATGTCCAAGGATTGAGTCGTTTTTAGCCTCGCGGACGCGTACGCAGATACTTACAAGCCTTGTTGGTACACACGTTTTTATTATAATATAACACGACTCGAGGTGTGGTGTAAATATATCAATGATGACGAGCGTTGTTAGTTAGCCGATGTTTTATGAGCCTCGCGGGGATTTATTTACATATATTTAAGTATGTACGCGCGCGCATATTCATACACTCTCCAATCGGTGAATATAATGTCAACGTCGCTGAAAGATCAGCCTAAATAGTGTAAGCGCGCGCAGAATTTGACAGAGAGAGAGAAAATAATAATTCGACGAGATGGGGCTAGGAGATAGTACGGACTAGTGTACGTTTCGGCACACTACTACTACTACTGCTGTAAGTCTAATCGGAAGCATTTTTGAGCTATCCGGTTTCGGGATTTTCTTGGCCGGCTTATTATATTGGCCGATCGACTCTATGATGATGATCGGCTACCGAACGGACACTACTTACAACGGATCTCCCGAATTATCGTTTTCACGGCTATGTACGGCTTTATAGGCTAGCTACTTAATTCGTAGCTGCCGAATATCCTCGTTGACGTTCTTGTTGTGTATTATTGCGAGAGCTGTCAGTCGATTTCGCGCCTAATCATTCTTTCTCTTTTTAGATAACGGGTCAAATCAGCTCTGAGATCTTGAGCTTCATAAAAGACGTATAATACAGTTATAGGCCGCTAAATAAGTATGCAATTTCTCCTCATAAAAGTATCAACGGGTGGTGGTTGATAATGTGAGCTGCTTACATGGGTGTCGTGGCGGGCACCGCCGCTGCTGCGGTCGGCGTCGTCGCTATAGAGGGACTCTTGCCGGGAGGTGGATTGCCGCTCACCGCCGGCACCGAGAGTTTCTTCGACCTCGACGACTTGTCCTGCTGCTGCTGTTGCTGCTGTTGCTGTTGCTTTTGCTGCTGTCGGCATTTCGCTCGGCGATTTTTGAACCACACCTGCGGCAAGGTAAAGAGAGAGAGAGAGACGAGATAAAAATCATTATATATTCATTTTATATTTTCATGCGTATGTACATTGTTAAGGTCTGCGTCGAAGCGCGATTCGGAGCAGTAGCAATATATGTATGCATGTGTGCACATTTATGTATGTGTGTGTATAAGCAAAGAGAGAAAGAGAGCCGCTCGGCAGTCTTGGAATCGATTCGGCAAAGAAGCAGTGCGGTAGCAAAAGCGAGACGAGAGAGAAAGAGAAAAGGTGGGGCACGAAGAGAGAGAGAGAGAGAGAGAGAGAGAGGCGCGAGGGCATAAAGAAGTCGTGCACACACACGCATACACTCGCACAGTCGCATGTAGAGCAGAGAAAGAGAGATATAGCTACCAGATATATAGGTATAAGATAGCTACTGGTACATACACGGTTATATACGCGCTATTTACGGAGCGAAACGCGGGGCTGCTATACAGAGCTACGTATACACACGAGAGTCGGCTGCAGCTCGTCGGGAGTCAAGAGAGAGAGAGAGAGAGAGAGAGAGAGAGAGAGAAAGCTCGACGAGAGCTTCGAGAGGAGGGAAGACCCTCGCGCGATCGATGCCGCGTTGCGTTGAGGTAGTAGCAGCAGCAGCAGCAGCTACGAACGACCCCGCCACGCGCTTGGGTTTCCTTGGGATTGCCTAAGGGAAGCTACTCTCGAATTTCTCTCCTCGCAGCGTTGCTGCTGCTGCTGCTACTAGGTAGCCCCTACACACGAATACACTGCCCTCGCATGCCCGCTAATATTACCGATTTCTCCACTATGCTACACCTATGTGCATCGCCTTTTTGATTTTTCTTTTCTTTCGAGACGTGCGCGAAACTATAGGACCTATATATAGGTATCTGTCGGCAAGAGGAGCGAATCGACCTGCGAGCGTATGTGACTTTACTCGCATATATGTAACATGGCCTACGCAGACCAGGTGACGTTACGCATTATTATTATAACAGACTGATATTCTTATGCTCGGGCACGCGCCGCGCGAAACTATTCCAGCGACGATAATGATGACGACGACGATCGGTCACCGCGCTAAAACACATTATATATTGCCGAGCTCCCAACAATGGGGCGCGTTCGTGATTCCAGTCAATAGAGGACGCGAATCATGCCCTTGCACACGACGACGTGCGAGAAGAGAGCAAGGACCGATTCGAGAATGGACCGGAAGCTTTTTTTGCCGTCGTGTATAAATTTATATTCGTACACCCTCCCGCGTACGCAAAAGTGATTCGCACACGGACTTTGGAGCATGATCATGCGGTCGAAGTGATTTTTGAGACACGATCTTTACGTTCGGTATCTCGGCAGCGATCGTAGCGTACAAATGTATCATAAGCTCGTCGATCTAGACGCACGCGTTTCCGAGAACTTATATCACTCAACGCGCGCGTGTCCGTCAAAAATCACGAGGAAAAATGTCTCAATCACTGGCCAATGTCCCTATCTTGAATCGAAAAGCAAAGCCAAGCAGCAGCGCACGGCCTGGTACCAGACCCAGGTAATTATAATACGTAACGAAATCGAATCAACGTCCGAAAAAATAAATCAATCCATCATATACACAGATTAGAGCTATTCAATGATCCTAATGTCTTCCCTAGAAAACAATCATCTCGTGTGGTTGGTTTCTATGACCGAGAGCCTGCGGGTACTACTACTACTACTATTACTACTACTACTACTACTACTACTACTATGCTCATAGAATCGATGCAAAGATCCAGATTCGACCGACCCCCCATGCCAGCTATAACATTTCGACGTAATTGCCGCACCGATGCTTATTAGCGCGCGCAAAGACCACAAACTACTGGAATCGTAATTTCTTCATGCTCGACCGGTCTTCAAAGGTTTATAAGCTGTCACACATTTTTGCTGCCGCTACAGGCTGCGGTACACTTTTTTTTCTTTCTGTGTGACATCCCGACCGATTCATGCCCATGTAATGTAGCAGCAGCTGGAGAATGTAACGCAACGATAAAATGCAAAGTAGTCCCGGTAGCCTCGTGCCGCATACATAACGCAATACGTAAACGTCGGAACGTAGAGCATGTGATTTTGAACGATTTCCACGGCTGCTGTTGTTTTGAGAACTTATAATGACGAATACGACGGCTCACAATCATCACGAAGTCCGACGTCTCTCTGAGAAAAATCAACTTTCGTCAATTTCGGGCTCTCTCGTATGCTATTTACTCTCTCGAAAAATTTCATAAACGTAGCAGCAGCACATCTGAATAACGAATTATATGAATGTAATGAATACGTATGTACAGGTGAGCGCGATGATGCAGCGCGGCCGATGCCCGATAAGATCAGGTAGAAGCTGATGGACGAACTTCGTATTCGATCAACAATGTGTGGAGTCATGCTACTTCCATAATATACTCGCATGCGCCTGCACACACCTACAACGTTTACTTCACTTTTTTTTCTTTTCTCCAAATCATGGTCGGACCATATTATATTTGGAAAAGAAGAAAACGGAAAAAAAATTTTCCATCCGCAATATAGAGAGCTACCGTGTAGATATGCACACGCACCTGGATTACAATATACGATCGAAGTTAGAGCGACTGGAAATTCGCGGACGAAGGGAGAATATCTGGAGCAGCTATACACGGTGGCTCGACAACAGCAAGGATTTGATCAAATTATAATCCCCGAGTCGGCTAGGTTTGTACATTGTGTCGCGCGCGATGTCGTGTCGTCATATGCGGACGTGAAAGCGCAGCTGTTAATAAACACACACGAACATCAATAATATCTGTATATAGGTAGCCGCGAACTTGATAATATGAATTCGATGTATTTATAATTGATTTGACACGTTCGCCATATAGGCCAATCGGCGAGTTGATCCGAAAAGGCTTTTTCCTAGCCCCGCATAAATAAATATCAGCCGGCGCTCGATCGGCCGGTGACTTTCGGAATGTGTCGCCGTCGTCGTCGGGGGCTCCGAACACACCACGCGCTCGTGTGAGTGTGTGTGTGTGTCACGCACGAACGAAGGGATATCGTTTTTCCCCGCAGGCTGTTTTCGCTAAGATAACTCGACTCAGCGGTGCGTTAGGTTTGATTTTATTTTATCCAAAGAAGACACAACGCACGACTGTACTGTGACGACGTGGGGGCATACATGCGTACTTATACGAGCCGAGGGACATGCGCCCGCCGACGACCCTGGGGAACGGCCAGCAGCAGCGGTTGGTTGGTTATTGCAGCGCGAGAGCCCCTTGACGAGTTTATTCTGCGCGCCTAGCAGATCTTATCCGGAGCCGTATCACTTCGGAGCCTATATGAAAACGCGTAACGCGCCGAGATAGTGCCGAGAAAGAATTCATTATCGAGTGGTATATAATAGGCCTGACCGGCCTGTATAGCGAGAAACGAGCGAAAAAAATACCGACTCGCTGACAAATTGAAGCCCTAACGAGCATCTAATTCAACGATCGCGTCGTCGTCCGTGTGTGCTTGCTGCTGCCTGGGTAATGGAAATAAATGGAGAAAGAAAACCCTTATACTCGCCAACACACATTTACACACACACACACACACACACACACACTCGCACGGCGTTGGTACCGCGTAGGGCTTCTTTCCACGCGTACTGCCGCTGTATATATAAGTTCGCCTACATACACACTTCTTGCATGTGTACTGCACAGTGTGCTGCACGTAACCTCGCGCCATGTACATATATATATATAGATACGATGTACAACAACTGCAGCTTGCCGCGCGCGAGTTTCTATCGTGCTGCAGTTGCTGCGTACATGCACAAATCCACCTGTGTGAGAGAATGTGTCGAGGGAAAGAAACAGGCAGCAAAGAAAATAACAGTATATGTATGCGATTTACCTGCACACGAGACTCGGGTAGGTTGATTTTCAAGGCCACCTCTTCGCGCATAAAAATGTCCGGATACCTCGTCTTGGAGAAGAGGCCCTCGAGCACGTCCAGTTGGGCTCGGGTGAACGTCGTCCGCTCCCTCCTCTGCTTCCGTGGATTGCCTGTCAGCCCAGCAGCATCAGCAACGATAACAACAAAATGTGCAACGCATATATTTTTATCACTCATCTTAGTGTATTATTCATACATATTTCATTGTAAATAAAAATAAGAAGAAGAAGAAAGAAGAAAGCAACAGGAGAAAGGGTAAAAGGATTACGATCGAACCTCGTGCTTCGAGCACGGCTTTAGGCTCGATCTTCGTTTATTCCGTTGTGAATTGTATAAATCGCAGAGTCATACTAATTCAAACCTATCTAATAATTCGATTCAATCTAATTTGGGCGTATAGAATGAATAATATCTCGGTAATAAGCGATCTCCCTTGAGACTTGGAAACACATTTGAATACATTAAAAGTGTCTCGTACTTTATTTTGATGATGCCAGCAGAAAATCTCAGCTCGTTTCAATCATAATAATCTATTCTATCGATGACACTGTACTGCGATTCAAAAAAATAATAATTAGAGCTGCAGAGATTCCATATATAGTCGATAATTAGTCGTAAATCAATTTTTACAAGAAATTCATCACCTGCATGTGTCTCGTTGTGTCTTAGTGATCGATTAAGTGTCCGCAGAACTCAATGAGGCATAAATTATTAAATGTAAGAATGCGAGAAAGTGAAACGAAGTCGATAGAATTAAAGAGAGAAAAACACAAAATCGTTAAAAGGGCTCGCGCAAAAGTCGTGTGGAGTCGATGTGTCGTCGACGGAGCGCGTAGTTGTTAAAAAGTCGCTGCCACGGATATTTGACAACGAAGTACAAAACGAATACGAAGCTGCTACATATATATCGTACTCGCGAGCTCTGCCGTGGCGCGGCTAAAGTAAAACAAGCACTTTATAATAATAGCTATAAGTCGCATTATAGCAGCAGCAGCAGCTAAGCATTATTGTTTTGTTGTTGTAAAAATGCCAGGCCGCGAGCCGTAGCAGCGGCGGTAGCACACCAGATTCTCTCCACGATTGATAAACAGAGTTGTAAAGCTTGTAATGCTCGCATAAGAGTTAAATTGGATGAGCTCAAAAGTGATGCTATTATGGGATCAAGATAAAACCTATATAGAGATGTAATCTATTATGCAAAACGTTTATAATTACATTTATATATTATAAGCTCGCGAAACTGTCCACACCCGCACATTCGCGATTTATATTAGGCGATGTATCATTGTGATTTATCGACGATTAATGACGCGCACGCGTCATATTGCGCGGTATATTAAAGCTCGAATAGCAGCGGTGGCTAAAAGTTTATTAATTTTTTTTTTCGCTTCGTGGCTACCAAGTGCACGCGTGTGTTGTATTGCGATCATCCCCTCGCATACCCCCCCGAGGGAGTTAGTCGCGCGTACGTAAATGAAAACCGCGACGCGTATATGTGCTCATGATATGCTTTTCAAGGGCCATCACTACTACTACGACCACTGCTAATATGTAGGACGTATTATTGGTCTCGTGGTCGCTGTAGCGTAAAAAACCACCCACGCGCCAACCAGCTCGTAATATAGACGCACAAGCACACACATGTTCTTCTGTGGAGTCGATGAATGTATAAAGTCCGCGACTATAGGTGATTTCAATATATTCGTGCGCGCAAAAAAGTGAACATCTCGTGTGTGCCTCTATGTATAGATTGTGAGTCTTGTGTGTGCACTCTGCACACAAATTTATAAAATAAAAAAAAGGAGCTGCTATATGTGGCGCGGCGGAGAAGAAGTGTTTACGCTTGGCTAGAGCCAAACACGCGATGCTTCCAGGCAGCAGCATCGGCATCGAGCAAAAGTAATATAAGGACCCCGCCGCTGCAATATACCTATATATAATACTGTTTCTCCCGAGTCCACCCTGCCTTTTACATAATATAAGGTGCTTGGCACGGTATATATATATATAGCATATATTCAACCTTTTACGCTGCAGTGGCTGCTTTCACGCTGCGCCTTCTAAACACACTTACCCGCCGTATAGTCTTCCAGTGACTATATACGCGCGCGCGAGTCATATGAATAATCGAGTGGGCGTACTCTAACCTCTAAAAGACCACTAAACATCCCCCTTATATACTCCAATAAGTGCCTATAACCTGCCGTGGCGGCGGCAAAAGTTTCATGCTCCAGCGAGCTTGCTTGCTCCAGCTCTAACATAATATGCTCCGTAGCGGAAACCCAAATAGGATGCCTTGTGTGTATCTTTCTTTTACAATATCTTTATATTATGAGTTTCTTATAATTATTTTATACGTTTTTAATGGACCCGTCAAAGACTCGTTCGCTGTGGGCTTTTCTTTTGCTGACCACAATATAACCGAGAAGAAAAAAAGTTTATCACTGAGCTTTTGTGAATTGCAAAGAGTTTCACGGAATTCCAAAAACTTCTCGCAACTTAAGTGTCATTCTTCTTTTAACTAAAGTTCAAAGCCTTTGAATTTGTCTAAAAAACATACATGCTTCATTAGCATTCATTCTTCTACAGGTTTGAGGAAAATGTTTCGTTTAAGAATATTTAAGTTTCAAAATATTTTGTTGTCTTTTTGATTATTCCGAAACTAACGTAATCAATCGCGTCTTTCCATCAATCGTAGTAACTTTAGTTTGCTTTCATTTAATCTTTTATTGATTTATTTCAGAACAATAACGTATCTGTTTTTGGTGATGAGAAAAGTGCCCACAAACCATTCTCTTGAACAGATCTTTCCAAATAATACATTTTCCAAAAATCTTGTTCCTCAAAATATTCCTTCTATTATAAACTTGTTTTTAACTTTTTCCACTTGTTCTCGGTCAGGTAAGTGATCGTGTCTTTATTGTTTAAAATCTTAAACTGAAAAAAAAACTTAGGGGTAGATCCAGAAAAAGTGAAAAGCTTGATTCGAAAAATATATTTTGCTGTTAATTTTGCAAAATTATTTTGCTGTGGTAGTTAAATGTATTTTTCTAATCAAGCTGTTTACTGTTGCTGAATCTACCAATAAGATTTTTTCAGTGTATTAAAGATCAATTTTTATCATTCTATGCATCAATAATTTTTTAATTTATTGACTTATTAGATGTAGAAATATTACAGTTCCGTATTCATTATAGCATAATACTGAATATAAATAGAACGCTTATAATAAATGAACAACAGTTACAGTCAAGAGTCGTCCATACAATTCATGATCGTGTTGCATGTTCCACAAATATGAATTATTTTACACCTAAATTGATCCAAAGGATAGTAATAGCTAGGAATTGTGAAAGGTTTGAAAAATTAATGCAAATGTGCATAAATAGCTATTTAAAAAAAACTTATATGCCTCAATGTATTTTTTCGATAAAATACCAATAATGGTAAAAATTTAATTGGATTTTCAGACACTGTAATACCGACTTCGTTAGTGCTGATGACCCTTACATCTTCAAATTAGTATGTCAAAGGTCTAACCTCAAAATTCAAAATTAAAAAAAGTTCAATTTAATTGAATCCTATTAATAAGGATTAGTATCGATGTAAGATCTCCAAAAATCGAATCTGGTAGCACTAATTTTTTTTACATCAATGGCATTTAAAAAGTATGAAGAATCTTAAATCTTTTACGTAAATAAAAGTCAACATTAGAATGATAAGGTGATAAAATATTATACAGGTAAAACAGTAAATCAGATCAATTCAAAATGATATGATCTCGTTATAATGACAAGAATTGTGTTCATAAATCGACGCTCCTTTTTCAAATTTGCTGTTAATTTTATTAAGTTTAATCTGTCACTTTTCACGATACATTGAATAAAACTTTTGACTATCTTATTAGTTCACCGCTAGCAGCGACTTAACTAAGTAATCACGATAATTTATACAACTAAATCGATTAGCTAGTCCAATATCTATGAAAACATTTCAAGACACTGAATGATTAAAGTATAATTCATTAGGTCTGACATTTTTGTTTTCTGACACCTCTCACCGACAAGATTGACACTTCCTGATTCAAACATTTCCGTATAGAATATCAACTTGCTTCAACTTGTCAAAAATTTCGCTTCGATTACTGACCAATGACTCGGTGATTTGTTTTTTTCCAAGCCCTAAGGGATGTCAATTTTTCAGGTAGTTTATAATACAACAGCTCCAAAGCACGAGATAAAAGAGAAGTAGCGATATCCGAGCGGATTTTATAGTTATTCCAAATGCGAAGTAAAGGTCAAACGCAAAACAGTAGCGGTAGCAGTAGCCGCGCGCGCGCGCGTTGGTCGAAGCGATCCTTCGGTGAGTTATTAACATGTGTATACGCCTCGAGCTTCCAAAGAGAGAGGATAAGTATTAAGCATTATATACATATATAATAAGTTTCAAAGACTTATAGAGCCTTTAAAGGTATTTTTGATGATATATGATGTGCTATATGAATATTATATTATATTATTATTGTTGTTGTTTTGGGCACTCACAGTAGTAGGACTCACCGGCGGGTGAGCAGCCGGGATAGGCGATGCTCGAGTGCAGTGCCTCGATCGGCGGCATGCCCAGGGCATAGTGGCCGGACTTGAGGCTGCCGTAGGGCCCGCCGCCCGCCGCCGCCGCTGCTGCCGCGGCTGCCGCGCCGAAGCCCGAGTGCCCGAAGAGGTCCGAGGCCGAGGTGCCTGAAGCGGCCGCGGCGGCCGCAGCCAGACCGCCGAGTTCTTGCGCCGCTGTGGCGCCGCCCCCGCAGCCGCCGCCCCCGAGGCTGTTCGGCCACATTAACCGTTAAAACGACGCCGTCGTGAACGCCGTCGTTGAGGAGGCACGCACCGTCGCGCCGCCGCTGGACTGCTTATCAACCTGTCGACACACAGATACGCACACAAAAATGTTATATGATATATAAACACACGTATGCTCGTGCAATGAGGAAAATGACATGCACGACAGTTATGTACAGCATATGTAATTAATTTACATTACTTATGTGGGTATGGGTTTGATTAATGCGCGCCGCTGCGGAGAGTTGTGTTATCGCGTCTCGGTACGCGCTCGGCACGTCGGCTATCGATTAGAAAACTCGAGTGGCGAGTGCACGAGAAGGAAAAAAGAAGGCAATCTCGTTTCACGACTTTTCCAGGATACGCTCGATTCTCGAAGTAAATCGAGTCGTTGGCCGGCTTGCGGTTCATGTACGTTTCTCAAGAGGACGTCTTAATGCTCGTACGGACTCGCGCGCGCGCGGACACCAGTTGGCAAACAAATAACACGAAAAACTCAAAAACGCGTATACGCGGGGGAGAGAAAAAGAGCAAAAGAGAGAGAGAATGAGAGTTGAAGTTGGAGATATAGAGGCGAGGCAGCGAAGCGAACAGCCCCCCGTCGCTCGAGTCGAGAGCTCGGGCGCGCGCGTACAAACACGGCACAGCCCGGGTCCTTGAAAAACCATCGAGAAAAGAGAGAGAGAGAGAAAGAGACTCGAGGGATATATTCGTAAGGCGAAGAACGGAAAGTCTCCCCCGCGGACTACAACTACTATTACTACTTATGTCGAGTCGATTGTCGAGCATCTTATTGTGAAAAACAACAAGTGGCCACAGAACGTATATAAAACTGCAAGTTGCTGCTCATATTGGTACTGGCGCACAGTACACAAGCAAGCCTCTTTTTCTTTTTCTTCTTTTTTCCGCGCCGCGACGACGAGCATCCATTGTTTCGATTATTTCGAGCGAGTATGTTTGCACTTTGCCTTCCTTCGTGTTCTCTCTCTTGCTCTCTCTTGCGAGCCTAAGGGTAGTTTCGCTGGTTGGTTGGATGGAACACGGTTGCGCGCGCGCAGAGTGAAAGAGAGCGAGAGAGAGACAGAGAGTGCAAGCTGCGAATAGTTCGGAGGTCGTCGTCGTCTACGAGATCTACTCACCAAACTGTCTCGACTGCTTAATGATTTTGAGTATCATTTGGCACTGCACTGACACTTGGCAGATAAGCAACAATAATCAATTAATTTATTGGTCGCTGTCGCTGCTACTGTTGCGACCTCCACGGAACTCGAGCTGCTTGTTGGTGGGCCGGAGGACGGCGCACTACCGCCACCGCCGCTGCTGCTGCTGTTAAGCACTCGCGGCTGCACAATTATTTTGCTCAACAATTCGCAACTTTTGGTCTCGCGCACTCACTGTCTTGCTGGACGACGATGAGGAGAGGCCGATGCACTACTCACGTTGCTTTTTGCACAATCACTACTCGTTTGACCTTAATTTAGAAATAATTCGATGCACTGAGCCAAGGAGCAGGACCAGAACCAGAACTGGAGGCCGAAAGGCTAGAGGAAGAGGAAGTACAGAGGAAGAGGAGAGAGAGAAAGAGAGAAAGAGAGAGAGGAAGAAAGCGAAAATTCATATACGCTCTTGGCTGGCAGCTCTCGGAGCTTATTGCTTTGCTTTGGCTTTTGCTAAATACGAGCAGGCTCCCGCTATATATTTTTTGGTATATATGTATAGGTTGGGCTGGAGGTAAAGCAGCAACAAACGTCGCGTCGCGCGCGAAGCGTAGGATCGGCGAGCTGCAGCTCTGCTACTGGCAGGCGCCGGTATATAGGTATTATTATAGGCTGTGCTCGTTTGCACTCTGTGCCGTTTTGGCGCACTGTGGGAGAGATAGAGCGAGAGAGAAAGATAGAGGAGAGCCGCGCAGCGAGCGAGACGAGGACGGAGCGAGAACGAAACGACGGGCATAGGGGGAGAAGGTAGCCGAGCCGGAGCCGGAGAGCGAGACGACAGACGAGAGAGAGCGAGCGAGCGAGCGAGACGGCGCAAGCGCACCTCCACCTATGAGAACGACACAGGCGTGACTCCGGAATCGCCGACTGGGGAGCCAATGCCAGCCCAGCGATGGCTACCCGTTTTACTCGGCCCACAGACTCTCTGCTTGCGTGTGTGTATCCGTGCTTTTCTCTTTGCTCGCTTCTTTTTTTGCTTCTGCCGTCCTCCTCTCTCTCTCTCTCCCTCGAACGCAATTCTCCCTGTATATTGCACTATCGTACATAAAGCTACGATATATACGTAGAGTTCCAATGTCCCCTGCGAGGACGTCTGTGCGTCGTAGCGACTATGATCGGGGCTAGCTCTTGCTCACCCTTGAACCTTGACGCGGCGACGATGGTCTCCGAAGCCGGCCGTCGGTCTATTGGCACACGTCTGCAACAGAAAAGTGCATCTCGAGCTGCCTACAAACTACCCTCTAGCACACGGTGCAGCAGCAGTAGCAGCAGTGGTGCACTGTGAACGAGGCGGTGGCGGCGGGTGGCTCACTCACGTGCTGCAGCACGCCACACTGCCACACTGCTGCCACTTGCTTAATGCTCTTACGGGATTCCGAAAAGATCAGCCAGCATTACTATGCTATTAGCCTGGATGAGCCTCCGCCGTTACTAGTCTAGTTATACATACATACATACATACACATATAGGCACGCACGAACGCGGGGCACACACTTGGCAATGGTTCATATATAGGAGAGAGACGACACGCGACCTCGCGACCCCGATATGCTTCCTCGCACCTCGAGTATCTATGTACGTCTGTGTGAGAGCTACTTAAGTTATGCTTATACGCGCGGTTAAACGGCCGCTAAATACTCTCCGATCGCCCGATTGAGTGTGCACGAGCTTTTCTTTGGCACACGAGCGCGTGCCAATAAAACCATTATAACAACAACAAAGTGTAGCGTGCCGAGCTACTATTATATATATTGGCCCCCGGGGCGTGGGCAGATAGAGAGATGCTAATCATCACACGCAGCAGCTGATTATAAAAATCGCTGCTGTGGGTTTGGGTTTGAAGAGCGATACAGTTAATGTCAGTTGTTGTGCAGTGTGCGGGTGGCCACACGCATTCGACACACACCGATCGATCATTAAAGCTGTATCGGCTGTCAAACAGCAGCAGTAGCACCGCATAAGCATATAGAGAGAGAGAAAGAGCATTTTTATCGCTGGCTCATCCTCGCCGCTGCACCCAAAACGCGCCGCCGAAATGCAAATACGGAGTCAAAGTGTGTTTGTGTTTGAGCGTGTGTTCGCAGGATGAGCTGCCGCTGATGCTGCTCCTCGGGGCATGATTATTCATCCGCGCCGTTTGGTCAAATCAAACGCGCGCGTATATCTTTACACACATTGCGTTACAGTCGGTGGCAGTGGTGATTATTATTGGCGCATTTACGTTACATACGTGTGGTACTTATGCATGCGGTATCGGTTTTCGTACCTCGCGATTTTGCGCGAGAGCTGTGGTCGAGCGAGAGCTCTGTCACCGCTGCTATACTTATTCACAGCAAAATGTCTCTCTCTCTCTAAAGCTTTGTGCATGCATATCCGCATGGTTGTTCGCTGCTGCAGCGATCGGAATATAAACGTTAATTGATCGAGCTCCCCCGCGCGCGCATATCATTTATTGTTGTACGCGAATAAACGCGCGACTACCGCTGTTCTCCGCTGTGAAGGATATATTATATATAATATAATACAAAGCCTAGTGACACGCGCGCGAGCTTTCATAATATAATATGAATCCTCGATTCTCTCGAGTATAACATACAGCCCAGGAGCAGCAACAACGCGACATAATGATTAGCTCTATCTGCCGCTGAAGCTGATGCTGCTACTGTCGCTTCGGTAACGAGGGAGGCGTATATACCTGCGGAATTATTCGAAAAATACTTTTTGATTGATGTACAATGGAAGCGTAGCTGCTGCTGCTGCTGCTGCTGCTCAACGCGCGGATCCAGTCTCTGCTCTTTGCTACATGCTCGCTGCGTAGCAGGGCGCGCGCGACATTATATGTCATGTATAGGGCTCGAATAATCCCTTTTCATCATCATCATCATCGTCATGATCGTCAGCGTAGCAGTCGTGGCAGTGAGATTCATATTATTGCTTGGTAAAGCTATAGGCACATATTATATAGCATATTGGCCATAGTGCAAAAGAGAGAGAAAATAATAATGACGCGCCACGGAGGGGCTTGAGTTTTGACTCGAGCGCGCGCGCAGGACTTTCTTTTCTTTCCTGTGCAGCAGCTCCGAAGCTCCGCACAGCAGCTATTTACCCGACTCTATGTTAAAGGTATATACGCGTCGCGCACTGCCCCATTCTCATCGTATACGATATTAAGATGGAGTGTAGGTTCGCCATCTTCCGCAGGAGACTGCTCTGCCTTGACTGCCTCTGCCTCTGTGTCTATATATAAGGTATATGTATACAGAATTGCCACAGAGAGCTCCTCTGAAATTGGACTCGTTCGCTTATGGCACACACGTATACACACACAGGCAACTCGTACCTTGCCTTAATCCTAGGCTTAAAAAGTTTCGCCGTAAGGGGACCTACATACACGTACCATATAGATATAGTTTATATGTGCTGCAACGCGAGAGCGATCGACGTCGATGCGTTTGTTGTTGTGCGCGGGAGGAAAAAAAAGAGAGAAAAAATAATAAAAAAAGAAAGAGAGAAAAAAAATTTATCCTACGCGCTCAACTGCGCTGATGCAGCTGTTTTTTCGGGCCTCTCTCTCTCTCTCTCTAAGCCTTTTTGTTTGCTGCGGTCGAGCGATGATTCGTTTATTGCTCGCCCGTGTACATCGCGGCGCATACTATATATCATAGCTTAGCGAATGTGCAGCAGGGCGTACACCAACTTTTCTCTCTCTGCTTCTCTTCTCGCGCGGAGCTTCGAAATTGCGTCGATCCTCGTCGTCTTCCTCGTCGTAGTCGTAAGCATGTGTGGCCCCGAATCGTGTTGTTGTTGCTGCTGCTGCGGGCCGCGGGGATCTCTAGCCGAGCGTGATGGCTACATTATAAGAGAGTAAATCTTCCCATATTTCTCCGTGGTAGAGTCCGAGGAACTCTTGGACTTTTTCTGCCTCGACTGGCATAATATCGTCTCGTTATTATTATTTACGACAATGGGTAACGAATATGGGAAAAATATAACAACGAACAGAGAGCCTTTAGAGATGTGATTCTGCAGCAGCCACACTCAGGGATCGACTTATGAATTCTCAACTATAACGACCAGCTAACTCGTGCAAGGAAAGTTTCGTAAAAGAAAAATTGCACAGAGCTTATCTAAACTATGCAGATCTGCCTGCAATATAATTGGACAATCAATAAGTTAGAGTGACTTCAAAAGCTCACGCCGGATCACGAGTCGAGCTTCGTTGTACCTGCGTAATTGCATCTGGCTACATTGTTGATATTAATTTGTACTCGATGCCCATGCAGCTGCGGGATCGTCATTCGATCACTGCTTAGGCGCGACAGTCACGATTATCGCTCTGCATAATTTCCATCGTGTCGTTTGCGAGCGCAGATAGTTTCCTTTTCAAGGTGCAATTATTACGTAAGGCGCAACAAACAAGTTATCTTATATAATAATGTGACTGCAACTCGAGTTAGATCGCTGTACCACACAGCTAGGTAACTCTCAAGACACGTTGATTAATATTATAAAATATTTTTGCGCATATAAAAAGAGGCGCGAGCGCATGTATAATAGTCAAAGCTCCATTGTGCCACATAATTGAATCAAAGGTCGCTTTTTAATATAACAAAAAAATGCCAGCCACCGACATCTTAATTGTCAATTTCATTCATTATTTTACTTCATTAGTCGTTCCTTTTGGGATTATATGCTCCAAGGAGCGCGTTGTGGACTTGTGCTGTGCGGGTAAACACGTAGCAACAAGGGTATATTATATATATGGTTGCGCAAAGCAGCAGTAGCAGCAGCCGCGCGCACTCTTTCGATGATGAGACAAGAGAGCCCCGAGTACAGTATCAGAGAGAGAGACAAGACGAGCTCTTTGCAGTACGCCGCTGCTTCGCCTGGGACGAGCCAACATAGCTCGCTCAAAGTATATATAGATGGTAATATTCCCCATGTCAATAATCCCTTGGCTGCTATATAGCTCAGGCTCTCTCGGTCTGTTTCAGCATCTCTATATTATATCGACGGCTCTCTCTCTCTCTCTCGTAGCTCTCTGTGAGCGAGCAAGATGGCCCAGAGCAAAAAGCCATTAGAAAACGTAATAACGCCGAAAAAGCAATTATAATATTTATCAACTACGACGTAACTCGTACGATGTCTTACTTTTTTTTACTATCCGCAAATTAATTATTAAATCAAAACGAATTCAACGTAAACGATTAATTTCTAAATTTTTTGACGATGTGCTTTCTTTCTAATAGAAAAAAAAGAAACAATCAAAACACGCATCGATTCGGGTCGAGTCAAACGTGATTACGTGAAAAAAAGTTTGAAATATATATATCGGATCCAAACGTTTTACGAGGATGCAGTACCTACATGTCGTATGGATGTCGCGCAATCCGTGCACCGCGCTATATATTTTTTAAAAACGAGGGTGTCGGCATACATACATCGAGCGTCGTCGCGCCCGATTTCAAAAGAAAAGGCAAATATTTACTCGCGCCGCATGCGTCTATGTGTATGTTGCACGGTGCGTGTAGTGCAATGAAATT